TTTTGAGAACGGCTAATGTAGGTATTCACAAAAGTCAGAATTCAAAGTGAATTTAGAATTTAAGGCTAAAATCCCCCCAACTGGACGCTTGCTGTGAATCCAGTTTGGTTACTTTGGCCTAACATTTGAAATCCATTCACTTTGAATTCTCACATTTGGGAATAACCCTGTAAGAGTAACTAAATAACGTAGGAATTCATGAATTGCAGATATACAAACAAAGCATATTTTAATTTTGTAAGCATCAGTTTATCGGGTATCGATTTGGTTAAATGTGACAACATTCTCTAAAATATCATTTTAATTCTAAGAAAAAAAAAAGTCTGTTTATATTACCAATATATAAAATTCATCTGTGATGATAAATATAAAAAATATATTAAAAAAATATATATAATTTGAGAACGACATACTTGGTTTGTATAGTTATATTTATGTGTTTTAGTGTCGCATGGGAGCGCAGCACATTGTTTTGGTCTCTGCTGTGGCTCACCTAATAGAAATAGGTGGAGACCTATCATCAAGCCCCTACTTCAGGGATAGGAACCCTTCGACATTCCATATGACGTGCACTACATCTCCCGTAATACTCCTACAGCCATGATGCTGGCAAAGCACCAGGGGGATGTAGTCCGCAACATCTGAAGTGCTGAAGGATGTCTATCCCTACTTAGTATCTTAGGGTCACAGGTGACCTAAAAATTTTATTCCTTTATTATGTTTTCTTAATAAAAGGGACAAATGTCTTTGTCAGTGTGATGAAGCCACATGGCTCTCTCTAATTTCTCTAACAGCTTACAGCAAATATATGTACTGACAACATGGAAAATAAGTCAGTCACACATTGGACTGCATGAATGAACGATGGTAACTGAAAAGAATATTATTGCCAACTTCTAATCAATGAAAACAACAAAAATCCAAAGGAAGCATCATATGTTGCATGGGCACCTTTAATGCATGTTGGGAAATGATAATGGGTATCTTCAAAACGTTTTGGCCCATACTAGTGTTATGGGCAACTGCAAATATTACAAGTTTTAGAATGAAATGTTGTATTTCTTAAACTGTGTACTTTGTTTTTAAGAGATATTGCAAACTGACAAGGTGTTAGAAATGGAACATATTGTTTTTCATAGATGTTTCTTTAAACAATAACCTCTTACCTACCTACAGTGCATAATATGTTTGCGCCATTTTGTCCCAGACTAATTAAAAAAACAATAATGCATAAGCAAGCTTCAAGTCTATGCTACGACTCTTTCAGTATGCAATATACTGTGGTATCCTTAGTAGATAAGGATGTTCAGATTAAGATGGCATCTTGAACTAAGTCAGGAAAATTTCCATGACATATGCACCCTTTAGATATGGCCTTGTATGTTTGCCAAATTAAGGGAGGTCCTAAAATGAATAAAGTAAAAGAAGTGTTACTTTTTCATATATGAACTATGGTAACCCTAAAATGGAGACACCTAAGGTATAAATAGGTGTACTTTTAAATGTTAAGGAACAGAGGAGAGACTTGGAGACAGACGCAGCTCCATCTTAAAATGACAGAGAGGCTGGCATGATGACATGTTCAGAAGGGTATGAAGGGTATGTTAACCTATTAATGATATTTGGTTTAATCTTATAAACTCTGCTATAATGGATTTTATATATCTATATTTATATTTTTATATAATAAATACCAAAAAGACAAAACTTTATTGCTTCCAAGACAATCCTTATTTTATATTGTATTCTCAATTATTTATATATGTTAAATAGAGGATCTCTTACACTAATGATATAAAATTATAGCTAAGATATCTGTATGGTTAGCCCTGCTAAGTTCTATGCTTTAAGACCTTATAGAGGTAAATAAGGGAGCCAGCCGCGGTTACACTAGTATCAGATAGACACCTTAAGGATGTCGTGACACCTCATCCATCTATTACGGAATGCAGATGGAGAAATTTGAGAAACCTTTTGTTACCCAGTCATCTCCCCGCTAGTGCCACCTCAGGTCACCCTAAAAAATACTTACCAGCGAGCGATCACACTCTTTCTTTAGTTGTTGCACCATTGGAATAGTCTATTTACTGACATGTTCTTGTGGCCTGATGTATGCGGGTAAGACATTTTGCCTATTTAAATACAGAATCCAGGAACACATTAATTCAATATGGAGACGTCTGGAAACCCCAATTTCCAGGCATCTACATCACCATCATGACCACTCCTCAGCTCTTATTTATGAGTCTGGAACATGTACCTCAACCAACTCGTAAAGGGGTTGGTACATTACACTTTGTCAGAGAGAGGCGTTCTGGATTTATAGGTCAAAAACACTATCGCCACTTAAATAAAGGGTTTTCTTACTCCCCCTTCATATGATACAGGGACTGATTCTGTGACTATGTGGGTTTTTATTGTAAGCTAGTATGCTATACAACAATTGTTGTCTAAACCTTTTTTAACCTTTTTAGTTTCTTGCACTTTTTAATTGGTGTCTTTAATCACTAATTTTGCTCTCATCTAAATATGTATAATGATGACTGACTACTTGTGACATTATAGTAGTTCATGTATTCTTCAGTGGCTCTTTATACCACTTTATGTAACATTTATTATAGATACTAAACTTACAGCTATACTTATGATTACATGTGGGAGGTACCTTCTAATGGGTCAACCCACGTTGGCACTATTCATCCATAATGCATTCACCCATCATGTATTCCTCTTGTGCCTGCCTTATAATCATTTCAAGTAATGGTATTAACCCTTCTTTACAGCTAACTAGGACATAATATAACTTTCTTTTCGTTGTGGTATAAACAAGGGTATAAAATATTATGGTAACTGCCCGCTATGTATGTTGGTTTGCAGCAATCGCATGTGGGCGGTGCTTGATGATGGGATGTCCCATCCCATTACTATTGAACACAACCACTCTGCGCACGTCACGGATGCTGCCCACGTCCCACGTTGGGTCGGACCTATGACGCTGCATACTGACGTCTCCTGTGCAGACAGTTCGATATGGGTGAATGGATGCTGCTTTCCTGTAATGGGTAATGTGAACAAATATTGCCTAATTGGCCTACAGCTATGCTAGTCACAGGTGTTGACTGCCTATTGGCGGTCTTCCCAACCCCATTGATTATACACCACCCAATTAGGTCTGGCTACACTTCAAGTAAGGGGATTGGATGAGACATCTTTGTGCACCGCCCCCTGACCAGCTGATTCTGTTATGGCTCATTGTTTATATGGTATTCAAACAGACTACTGGATGAGACAGACTACTTTGCCCCTGACGACGGTATTGTACCACACCGAAACGCGCGTCAGGCTCTTTTACTATTTTTAATTACGCACTTATTTTCACGTTAGGTAGCACTTCGCCTTTTCTTTGACTTATCTCTTCAGGGTCTATGGTTTAGGTAGGCACTAGCCTAGTGTGGTGCTGAGGTATTAGGGACAGAGTATTTTTGTGGGGTATGATGTGTACCTATTATTGATTTTCTAGCAGTGGAGTAATTCTGCTCTTCGTATACTCACCTCTTTATCTACAATTTTCGCTGGATGAGAAATTTCATTCTTTCTGAGTGATATGCAGACAATTCCCTTGTGTCCCCATTTAGCCTTTGATAGTACCTGTATATTAGCATGATATCTAACCAGAGTGGAGTTACTTTTGTGTCTCTCATCTGTCCTATAGGGCTAACCTCTACCTGGCATTCAGACACTGTCTTTCCTATTTAGGACCCTAGTTAGATATAGTGGCTCTAAGTTATAGTCTTAATAAAGGTTTTTAATTCAATTTATTTTGGTTTTGCTACTATACTATTTTAGGTTGTACTCTTTCTCATGCTGCCCCTCTGTTGGGAGTGGATGAGTGAATGATAGCTAGTGCCTGCATGTAATGCAAAATAAATGAAAGGGTGGTCATTTAACGATGAGTTTATCAAGCAGGCTTGGGGGTTTCCTCTTCAGTCTACCCACACGGGTACAGGAATGTGCAAATTATACAGTATATCAGAATCAGAAATAGTGAAACTCTCTATACCAGTGGTCTCAATTCAAATTACTTGGGGGTCACTGGCCTAGTAATCCTTTCACATGAGGGCAGCTTGTAAAAATCACAAATCACAAAATTGCAAAGAAACACAAGTAACCACAGCCGGTTCCCCTATTTACCACTATAATGTCAGGGCTAACCACACAGATATCTTAGCCATAATATTATATAGTTTGTAAGAGTTTCTCTATTTAAAATATATAAATAACTGAGAATTCAATATAAAGACAGAGACAAGCCCATAATTGTATGGGGAACTGAACGTAACGACAGAAGGCTAAGTGAGGCCTTGTGAAATTGAGGTAATCGTAACGAGTAAGATTTCAGTACCTGATACTGTATGTCAGGAACAAGGTCGACAATCCATATTTTTAAATGTGGTAATTTGACGGCAAAGACACGCGGCCATCTTTGGAAGGTCTGATGTACCTTTATAGAGAATAATGGCATGGTGGACATCTTGGAGGAGGCGAATATACTCAGATGATTGCCAGAAACACTCCATATATGGCAAAGAGGATGGACCATCAATCCACAGCTGTTAATATTTGTAATGTAATTATATTTATTATGTATACTATATAAGAAGGTTGTGGCACTAGTTATGATATGCACCTGAGGGAGACCTATTGCATTAGGTCGAAACGCGTTGTGCTCTATTTTATTTTAAAAGTATTTACCTTTTATCCACTTGGCAACCTGGTTCCTGATTTTTATAAGAAAGAAGACTCCAGATATCTTCCAAGGGACTTAAAAGCTCAAATCCACATCTGATTGATGTATCTGCCTCTACAGTTTAGAGCCAACTCAGAAAGGCTCTAAATATTGTGAGTTTTTCCAAGTTTTATATGATTGTATTTGTATTGAGATGTATTACCAATAGTGTCACTGGATAATTCCCTCAGTAAAACACCCGAATCCCCAAACAGCAGCCGTAGTCAGAAGAAGGGTACAAAGATAAACTAAAGATTTATTGATAGACACTCTCTTTTTATGGGATTCTGTCCATTCAAGGGAGACTCCCCCATAATTAACAATACAGCCAATCATGACAATATACATACTGTACATCTTCTCCCCTCAGATAACCAATTAACACAATTAAAACGGAACACATTTTCCCCAAAGTCTGGATGTACCCCAGATAGCTGAACTCTGGGGGACCAACATATTAAAGAATCCGCCCATTCGGTTCAGCCGTTCGGGAGATATGGGACTTATAAGTTTTGACCGACTGCACGGGCAAAGTAGCCGAAAACAGTTCCACAAATTCTGGCCCTGCAGTCGGTCTCAGGTCGCGTGTAAAAACTCCCGAACGGCCGGCTATCCAGATGCCATCCTGGGTTCGCTGAAATACCCATCCGTTAGTAAGTCTTTCTACCGAATGCCCGGTCATTCTGTAGTTTTGGCGGGGTTCTCCCGAAGGTATGGAGGATTCAGCGGTGTTCGTCTGTTTGAGTGTCCGATTTCAGTTCCAGACACTCGACGGCAAACACCACTGTTGGGGAGTTAAAATGGCCGCGAACACGTGGAAGTCCCGAAATGGCGGCTATGCATACAGTTCGTGCGGGACTTTCGACGAACATGCCCATCAAGCTGGGGGGTAAAATACTCTTAATTGGAAACAGGGTGGTTGTGATTTGGTAGTTTTAGCTACCGAATGCCATAGGGGTACATAACAGAAAACAAGTGAATGCAAATTGTCACTTTGAAGCAAAATAGGGGGATTTCTTCACATACGGTAACCCTAAAATGGAGACACCTAAGGTATAAATAGGTGTACTTTTAAATGTTAAGGAACAGAGGAGAGACTTGGAGACAGACGCAGCTCCATCTTAAAATGACAGAGAGGCTGACATGATGACATGTTCAGAAGGATATGAAGGGTATGTTAACCTATTAATGATATTTGCAAGCATTTAGTTTAATCTTATAAACTCTGCTATAATGGATTTTATATGTCTTTATTTATATTTTTATATAATAAATACCAAAACAATCCTTATTTTATATAGTATTCTCAATTATTTATATATGTTAAATATTCATGTGTTCCTCGTGAAAAAAAAAATATATGTTTTTTTTTTATTCATTTGGCTGTCAACTTTCAAGTTCCTTATTCTTGTGCTGCAAGTAAAGAACTATTTATTTCAGCCACTTTTTATTTGTTTTATTGTTGTCCATCTGTCACTATCTCAACAAATATATAATCCCTTTGATCAGTTCATTCAAATCTGAGTCTGGTGTAGTCTGCGTGCATCGGATATCAACTATGTTGCTCCAAGAGCCAAACTACAAAAGCTCGGTATGACAAGGTGTGATGATCTATACCTTTGATGTACATTTATAATATAAATTAGTATATTAATAATTGTATTCACCACCTGTAAGCGTTCTCATTAATCCACAAATTATTTATACCTGAATCACATTTAAGGCAGATATAAAATATTGCATAAAGGAATGTGATGCCTATAAAATACCTATAAAAGTAACCTTTTTCTACTTAACTTGCTTCATATATAAGAAGGTTGAAGTCAAAGAGACACTTGCAGTTTACTTTCTTAAGAAGAAACATTTCCAATTCTTTGTTTAACTCAATCAGAGATCAACATGAAGCATCAAGGCAGCTACTCTTCTTCTGGATCCCTCATGGTAGGCCACAGCTCTAGAGGCCATTGTTCCTCTGGTAGCATCTCTTCACTTCATCATGGAAGCTCCAATACACTTCACCATAAGAGCTTCAGCTGCTCTAACACTGGTGGTTCCTATAAATCATCCAGCCACCTTAGAGGAAACTCAAAACTATCTATCAGTTCATCTGCTGGTCTTGCACATGGAGGTGGAAGTGGCCATGGTGGCCTTACAAGTCATCTCAAGAGTTCTAACAACCACGCTCATAACCTACTTCGTATTAATGAGAAAGATACAATGAAGGCTCTGAATGAGCGTCTTGCCTCCTATTTAGACAAGGTCCATTCGCTGGAGCAGGAGAATGCTGAGCTGGAAAGGAAGATATGTGAATGGTATGCAAACAATGCCCCAAGCTCAATCCCTGACTCCAGTGAGTACTATAGGACTATTCAGGAGCTCCAGAACCAGGTAAAACAAGACCTGTATGAGTTTATCTCCAATGTGGTCAGTTGTAGGATGATCTTACCTACAATGCATGTTTTAATGAGTTAAAGTAAACTTGCCATTCAATAAAATATCCAGACCAAAGTGTCTGCAAACCCTGAAAATACGACTGTAGACATGACTGTACAATAGAGATATAGAAATGTTAAATATTCTACAATATTTTATATACATTACATGAGAAAATATATTATATACACTGCATACATTTCATTCTGACTTGAACTAAACCAATATATATGCCATTAAAGATTTCTTCTAATGTGGTTATTTGTTGGGTGATCCTACTTACAATGTATGTTTTAATGACTTTCCTTCTTAATAAACGTACCATTCTGTAAAATAATTCTAGTCCTAAAAGCTCATGTAGAATTGACTGTATAATTGAGATACAGAGATGTTCAAAACTGTTTTATATAACTTATATAATAAAAAAATTTATATACACTATATAAATAGTATGATGTTGTTACATTCAAGAATGCAGCATTTCAAATTCTGAACACAGAGCCTTAAAAATCTCATGTGGTTCAGCTTTTCTCACATAGAAAATATAATATCAGTGTGTATAATCAACAGAACATTTTCTTATGACTTTAGTTATAGTCAAATATTGTTCACGGAGACCAAAATGTTTAAGCAAAAAAAGTAATATAAATTATTAGAGATGAATTGATAATGACTTTGCTTACCAGATTTCTTCGGCAACAATTAACAGTGGAAGGATTGTCCTACAGATAGATAGCGCTCAACAAGCTTCAAATGACTTCAGAAGCAGGTAAGTCTATGAAGTTATGAGATTTAAAGGAACAAGTGAAGACTTTGCTTTATACAACTGTAGCGGCATATATATTGTAAAGGTGACTTTGTGTGGCAAAATATAAAGATAAACATATATTCATCAAGTATGGTGGTTAGTATTAAATGAATAATTAAAAAACACAATATAAAAAAAATCTAAAAAGCCCTAATTTCTCACAAACAAACCTATTTTTATATTGTTACAGCAAAACATTCAGCATAGAATTGTACATAACTTCAGTTTAATGAAAATTATCTTGAGTCAACGATGAGGTCTACCAGCACTGCAGTAACTGCTTTAGTAATGTTCTTACTAAGTTTTCGGTTGAGGAAAGTTAGTGCAGTAGCTGTAAACTTTCTTATGTGTTCTATTAAGGTGTCTGTTATGTTTGATTGTACGACCATAGGTTAGAAGATAGTGTTGACCTTTATGGTAGACTATTGGCTAATTTAGGATTATCAAGGCATTATAATTTATCCATAACTATTTATCTATATTGTTGCATGCCGTGTAATCACAATACAATATATTGTAAATACCGTTACACAATCCTTTGCTAACTGCACATGGCATTGCCGTAGTTATCAAGCTGCGTTTTTGTCATGTTATTCCACACCGGAAAAAATACTTTCAACCAGCGTTAAATTGAAAAGTGATTAAGAGTTGATGCCATGCCTATTCTCAGAAATGATTATATAATATAGTGTGCTCTTTTATTATTATTATTATAAATTTAGGTGTGAGATGGAGATAAACACAAGGAACAATGTGGATGGAGATACTGGTTCTTTGAGAAGAGTCTTACAACAAATTAACAATGAAGTGCAAACCTTATCCGGAGAAGTCCAATGTCTCCAGCAAGAACTTTTCCAGATGAGGAACAACCATTCAGGGGTAAAGTGGAAATATGTCAATGGCCTATTATTATAATTTATTAAAACACTACTGAGAACAAAGATGTATTTGGAATAATTACAGGACTTCAAATGTCAAGTCGTAAGCTACTAGCCAGGTCTCAAAATTTTTTTGCCACTGCAGCCTAGAGAATCCTTGGCACTTTTACCAGTGGTAACTTTGTACAATGCAGGGCTAAATTTTTACTACGAATGTCCAGTTCATTTTTTTCCATTAATTAATAAAAGTTAACAGTTTTGGGGATCTCTTTCTTGCATACATCGTGAGTGTTTGTTTAGACATTGAAACCTAAGGGTTATTTATTTCTTTATAAATTACTTTAAAATTTTTCTTTCACGTCTTACCCTAGTTCTTTGTCTTTTTCAAAGGAAGTGGATGGTCTGCGTGCTCAGCTTGGAACCAGAGTCAACGTAGAAATGAATGCTGCTCCATCCATCGACCCGAACAGAGCTCTATCTGAGCTCAGAGAAGAATATGAAAATATGATGGAGAGGAACCTAAGGGAAGTCGAGGGCATGTTCTTGGCAAGGGTAATTCTAACCATAATATAATGGAGCAACTAGCTGACAGTAAACTATAACACTAAAACTATAGACCCATACCAGATTGGTAAGAACAGTATTATATTTTTACATGAAATTTTTTTTTCTTGCAGAGTGCAGAACTGGACCGTGAGATGTCTTCAGGAGCCGTACAATTGCAGTCAGTTAATAATGATATCATTGATTCAAAGCGGTCTTTACAGACCCTGGAGATCGACTTGCAGAGCCAGCTAAGTATGGTACGTCAGCATGAATTAAAATATGTAAACATATATAAAGCAACACCATGACTATATTCCACATTTACTGTTTTAATTGGTTCTAATAATGCTTTATTGACTACAAAGTCACTTGTGCCAGTCTTTAGTTTAAGAAAGTTTACCCTTGGCAATTTTTTATGTCTCCAAGTTGGAGATTAACAATAGTACAATAATATGATGTAAAAAATAAATCCATGAATAAAGGATCATATACTTATTTAGTTCAGTAATATTGCTGTGTCATCATTGGCAGAAATCAGCTCTAGAGAGCACCTTATCAGAGACGGAGGCAACGTTTGGTTCTCAGCTCTCCCAGTTACAATGCATGATTGATAACATTGAAGGTCAGCTGACACAGATCCGATCTGACCTAGAACAACAGAATCATGAATACCAAGTTCTCATGGACCAGAAGACCCATCTAGAGATGGAAATCAACACCTATAGACATCTGCTGGATGGACATGACATTCAGTGCGTATTACAATTTTTTGTCAAATTTAGTTGTTAAGTATTCAGATCAAAAAAGGAGAAGAAAAACGAAATAATGCTGGTTTAAGTGTAGTCATCATTATACAGTCTATGATGGAAACGTTGACAAAACCTGGCTATTGATATATCTTAATATTCATGTATAACACCAATACATGGGGCACTTACCTACATTAATGAGTATACAGTCACAAGTGAGCATAATAAACACTAGAATATTTTAAATGAATTAGCTTATAGAACATAACGTAAATTATAATATTTGTAAGTGAGGTGGGCAGTTAAATGTTTATATTAATTGAATAGATGAGATAGGTGACTGAGGGAGACAACTAAGGAGGAGATAATTATTGGTCGTAAATAAATTACAAAATGGGGTTTCACAGAAGGTATATGTGCATAGATGGGTTTTGGGGTACATAAAATTATAAATGAGGTGGCTGATTAGATAGTTTGTTTTAATATTAGGGTTTAGAAGGAAGAAGATGTGCAACTAGGAAGAATCCAGGAAGTTGGTGGTAAGGATGTAAATAAAGCAGAGATGATGAGCGTAGTTTACATAGTAGATTAATAAGACAAAGGGAAGTGCAACATACTAATCAGAAGTGGCCAAAACCGAGATTCCCAGCTGTTACATAACCACAGATCACATGTTGCTTTACTAATTGTAAGGTTGACAGTGCATCATTGGGATTATATGTCCGCGATAGCTGGGCATCCAGTTTCTGGATGCACCTTTTTTAGAGGGATTTTTTTTTACTTGTTAAAGCATTATTAATTAGTTTATTAGTAATCCTGAATGCATATTACGAAGTATGAAGTACTAAGTACCGAAACATTTTGATGTTAAGGCAATGCAATATGTGCTGCTCTATATTACAGTTAATTTCACCTAAGGTAATTGTGTATTTTTGATAACAAATATAATACACACCTCTCTCATATCAGGACTTCTAAACATCTCTAAATCTTTTCACAGTATTGCCAATCATACCAGTTCTGGAGGTGAGTAATATACATCACAATAAAAAAATTACATTTGCAATGAAAATGCTTAGCTATGTATTGCAATGGTATTTGATATTTCTAAACCTTGCTTATTGATCCAACTGTTATACAGTATAAAGGGAATTGACACAGTAAAGGAGGAGACTATATTTATAGAATAAAAACTACCACAACAAGAGGACATAGTCTTAAATTAGAGGGCAAAGGTTTAAAAATAATATCCGAAGTATTACTTTACTGAGAGGGTAATTGATGCATGGAATAGCCTTCCAGCTGAAGTGGCAGAGGTTAACACAGTGAGGGAGATTAAGCATGCGTGGGATAGGCATAAGGCTATCCTAACTATAAGATAAGGCCAGGGACTAATGAAAGTATTTAGAAAATTGGGCAGACTAGATGGGCTGAATGGTTCTTATCTGCCGTCACATTCTATGTTTCTATGTTTCTATTACTTTCTTAAGATTTAATCAACCCAAAAATAAAAGATGTAATAAAGTCTGTGTGCCCATCTAATTTTTCCACGTCTGCTCTGTTCTAGCATCCCATCACAACAAGTGCAAGTAATGGCCATGTGCTTCTCAATAAGCTCTTGATGCCTCTCTAGAAAAAGAATAACATGAATTAAATCATTATGAAATCAACTTCTCTGGAATTAGCAATCTGCCTTTATTATATTTCTTTAATTCCCTTTCCATTCTTAAGATTTAATCAACCCAAAAATAAAAGATGTAATAAAGTCTGTGTGCCCATCTAATTTTTCCACGTCTGCTCTGTTCTAGCATCCCATCACAACAAGTGCAAGTAATGGCCATGTGCTTCTCAATAAGCTCTTGATGCCTCTCTAGAAAAAGAATAACATGAATTAAATCATTATGAAATCAACTTCTCTGGAATTAGCAATCTACCTTTATTGTCTTTCTTTAATTCCCTTTCCATTCCTAAACTGATACTGATTAAATGCAAGTGAAAATCCAACACAAAATATATTAGCTATGTGTACAAGTAATACTGATATTGTTCTGAATTATTGGACACTGTTTGTGTCCTATTGTTCCTGAAAAAAATAGAACTCATCTACAGCTTGTTTATCAATACAATATTTACAATGACTTTATGCAGCTTTATCGAAGGATGGTGTTTAATGGTTTGCCTAGCAAATATTATATGAAAGAACATTTGAATTTCCAAGTACTGAAAGCATTTTATAACTGTTTCACGAAATTATAATTCTAAGACAATGTTGATCTGCTGCATATTTTTTTGTAAACTAGTATTTTACTAATATTGTAAAGCGCTGCGGATTACGTGGGCGCTATATAAATGCCAAAAATAATAATGAAATAATAATAATATATTTATCGTTTGGATTTAAGTTTTGTGGGAACTTTTGGACTGTATTATAATTACAACTTTATTGTAACTGAATCTACAATTCTTATAAAATAAATCATTTTTCTTTGTCTTCTGCAAACCCGGTGGTGTATTTGTATTTTGTATTATGAAATGTAAGAGTTCCTCTTAAGGGGGGATTACCGTGTGGGAAATAAAGTGTTGGATTCTCAGCTTTTCAAATATTTTAGAATTGAATTGCCTGAATTTAGCTAGTAATATTTGTTTTCACTACTGTTTGGAGTTGAATGAATAAACCCCTAAAACCCACACACATTATTGCACTGCTGGAACAATAAAACACAAACTATAGTCAGTTTCTGAAAATATATTTACTGTGCTAATAATTACAATTAAGACAGATCAACTTTAAATGTTAAGAATACTTATAGTGTACAAAACAAACAAATAAACAACAACAACAAAAAACAAATCTACCTCCACTACAGGCAATGTAGACTGTGAAATGTACAACATCTTGGAAACATTGTAAAAAAGAGATTATTGGTTTGATATTTTTGAGAACGGCTAACGTAGGTATTCACAAAAGTCAGAATTCAAAGTGAATTTAGAATTTAAGGCTAAAATCCCCCCAACTGGACGCTTGCTGTGAATCCAGTTTGGTTACTTTGGCCTAACATTTGAAATCCATTCACTTTGAATTCTCACATTTGGGAATAACCCTGTAAGAGTAACTAAATAACGTAGGTATTCATGAATTGCAGATATACAAACAAAGCATATTTTAATTTTGTAAACATCAGTTTATCGGGTATCGATTTGGTTAAATGTGACAACATTCTCTAAAATATCATTTTAATTCTAAGAAAAAAAAAGTCTGTTTATATTACCAATATATAATATTCATCTGTGATGATAAATATAAAAATATATTAAAAAAAAAATATATAATTTGAGAACGACATACTTGGCTTGTATAGTTATATTTATGTGTTTTAGTGTCGCATGGGAGAGCAGCACATTGTTTTGGTCTCTGCTGTGGCTCACCTAATAGAAATAGGTGGAGACCTATCATCAAGCCCCTACTTCAGGTATAGGAACCCTTCGACATTCCATATGACGTGCACTACATCTCCCGTAATACTCCTGTAACGGACCGTTTTGCACAAAAGGGGAAAAAACCGCTTAGACGATAATCCCCCTTTCAGAGTCAGGCACAGCTACTGTATAATCACCAAAACTCACGAACCGCCAATAAGTGAATGCTCCAAACTCCCGAACGGCATACAAGGGAATAAGGTAGCACTTCAAATAAACGAACAGGAACCATACGAATAGCTGCTAGCAGACGAACAGGAAAAGCTTCCCAGCGGCTTACACTCCTGGCAATCAGTCTTAGCAGCATACAGTAAATCCCCCCAAAGACGAGACAAGGCTCCGTGTTGAGGGTCAAGCAGTGGTCTGAGGTGCTGGCACACCCAGCCTGGTTTTTATTACAGTCTTGCAAATACAGGACCGCCCACAGGGAGGTATAAAACAACCAATCACATCACAGTTACATCCCACATATTCCCTCCCCTTATCCTGAGAGGAAACTCAATTACACATACAGTTAAAACATACTTTCTACCCAACTTTCATAACTCTAAAACCATACATCACATTCACATAAAATTACACATTCACAATCAATCCATTCAGGGGAACAACATATTAAAAAATGGCCTGAATCAGACCAGGGGTTCAAAAGTTAGTAAAAAGTCCTTTGTGACTAAATGAAGCATGGCTTTCTGGCCCAAACCAGTTTCAGAGTCTTCTATCCTGGAGATAAGTAATTCAATTATCTCCCAGGACAGACACAAGACTCCATTAAGCACATGGTTGCAAAAAGACACAAAACACTTTAAAATACATAAAGTCACATTTATTACATAAAACACAGACATGTAACATATCCCCAGATAGCTCAGGTCAGAGCGCACATTATTAAGCGAATGGCGCTCAGACCACACGAATACAGTTTAATCGCCATGGAGCCAAAGTCTTTACAGTCAGTTTCATACGAATGGGATCCATGGGATTCCTATCTGGGGTATAACACATTCAAACAAATCTACTGAACCCCAGGCAGAAAAGCACGAATACAGCTTTTCTGCAGGCAAAAATAAAGTCTTTTAAAAGGGGGCCATAGTCCAAAGGCAGCAGGCGAGCAACCAGGCTTCTCCAATGCAATGTGGCGAGATTGGTCTCGTCACATCTCTCCCCTTTTCCAAACAGACTAACAGGGTATCTGACCTCCTGCCGGTCAGTGCCCTTGTTAGTCCAGCAGCCCACCCACAACAAATAATCAACAGCACAGCCCACCCACAATAAATGGTTACTACACCTGGGTAAAGGAGAAGCTTGTCCATGTCCAGGTGCCTCACCACGGCTGTGCTGGGTACGGGTACGCTGACTTGGTGGGTTGCTGCGTGGGCAGAGACCAGCGGCACTCTGCCCTGTTGCCAGCGCTACTGGGAGGGTAGCCTGGTGGAAGCCTGGTTGTTGGAGGGGGAGACCGACTGTCTCCCCTTTAAATACACCGCTCTGCTGCTGCTGCTGGAGACTGACTGTCTCCCCTTTAAATACACCGCTCTGCTGCTGCTGCTGGAGACTGACTGTCTCCCCTTTAGATGCACAGTCCTGCTGCTGGAGACCGACCGTCTCCCCTTTGGTTACCCATCTCTGCTGCTGGAGGGGGAGACCGACTGTCTCCCCTTTGGCTAAACAGCCCTGTCGCTGGGGGGCAGGACCGACCGTCCCTACCCCCTGTGCTGGCAGTGTAGAGACTACGGTCCCATCTGCACGGTTGTGGGGCTTACTGTCTCCCCCTGGTACATTAAGCTGCCGCTGGGGAGAGGGGGTAACATGCTCCTCTCTCATACATACTTCCAGCTGCGGGGAAGGGAGACCGACTGTTTCTGCTCCCAATACAGAGTCCTGCTGCTGGGGAAAGGAGACTGGGCTCTCTATTCCCGGTAGGACACTCTGCCGCTGGGGAATGGAGACGGGGCTCCCAATTCCCAATAATCTGTGCTGCCGCTGGGGAATGGAGACTGGGCTCCCAATTCCCCAAACATCATACTGCCGCTGGGGAATGGAGACTGGGCTCCCAATTCCCAAAAAATCACGCTGCCGCTGGGGAGGGAGGACACTGCTCTCCTCTCCCTGGACTTTACACTGCCTTCCCGGCATATCACTTGGCTGCTGGGGGGCAGGAACAACTACCTCTGCCCCCTGTAACTCAGCCTGCCGCTGGGGAGGGAGGATGCTGCTCTCCTCTCCCTGCACTTTACACTGCCTTCCCGGCATATCACTCTGCTGCTGGAGGGCAGGAACAACTACCTCTGCCCCCTGTAACTCAGCCTGCCGCTGGGGAGGGAGGATGCTGCTCTCCTCTCCCTGCACTTTACACTGCCTTCCCGGCATATCACTCTGCTGCTGGGGGGCAGGAACAACTACCTCTGCCCCCTGTAACTCAGCCGGCCGCTGGGGAGGGAGGATACTGCTCTCCTCTCCCTGCACTTTACACTGCCGCTGGGGAATGGAGACTGGGCTCTCAATTCCCTGCAGGACCGGTGGAGAGACCTCGGTCCCATCTCTACCGGCCACCTGGGGTTCTTCCCAGTAAAACTGTACCATCTCGTCCCCTCTGAATGGGTCTGGCTCTGGCTCTGTCACCTTGCTGTCCTGCTGAATCTTCTCAATGGAGTGGAAGAGATCTCGGTAGTCCTGCTCCAGTTCCCACTCCAGGGCTGCTAGGTGAGCCAGGTCTTGCTCAATGTCGTGAGTGTCGTCCCAGTCATACCTGCTCTCCCTCCACTCCAAGAGATCACTGAACCGGGCTTGTGTAGGGCTCCCAAATTCAGGCTCTGAAAAAGCCTCCCATAACAAGCCAGGACCATCAAACTCCCCTCCCTCTGGCTTGTCATGCTCGGCTGTCCAGGGCAGGTACTGTGCCCCATACCACCAAAGCGCCTGGTATGCATCTTCCAGCCAAATCTCCTGCCATACCCGGTGCTCCAATTCCTTCACCCATTCATCTAGGGGCTGCTCTCCCAGGAAGGGCATCCGCAGGGCCACTTGCTTCTGCAACCGCTGCTCTTCACTGAGGAGATTCTCACCCCGCTGGTACTGTACATTATCCAGGGCCTGGTACCAGATGCCTTTCCTTAATGCATCCCGGCCATCCAGGTCCTCCTCCTCGTATGACACTGCTGGTTCCATGCTGTTGCTGTCAGGGTCGCTGTACTGGGACATGCGTTGCCCTCAAATTGTAAAAATCCACGGAATGGTGTCACCTGTAGCTGTCCTGTAGTCTGTGGGAACGATCCCGCCGCGTGCCACCAATTGTAACGGACCGTTTTGCACAAAAGGGGAAAAAAACGCTTAGACGATAATCCCCCTTTCAGAGTCAGGCACAGCTACTGTATAATCACCAAAACTCACAAACCGCCAATAAGTGAATGCTCCAAACTCCCGAACGGCATACAAGGGAATAAGGTAGCACTTCAAATAAACGAACAGGAACCATACGAATAGCTGCTAGCAGATGAACAGGAAAAGCAGACAATCCGCTTACACTCCTGGCAATCAGTCTCTAACAGCATACAGTGAATCCCCCCAAGAACGAGACAAGGCTCCGTGTTGAGGGTCAAGCAGTAGTCTGAGGTGCTGGCACACCCAGCCTGGTTTTTATTACAGTCTTGCAAATACAGGACCGCCCACAGGGAGGTATAAAACAACCAATCACATCACAGTTACATCCCACATATTCCCTCCCCTTATCCTGAGAGGAAACTCAATTACACCTACAGTTAAAACATACTTTCTACCCAACTTTCATAACTCTAAAACCATACATCACATTCACATAAAATTACACATTCACAATCAATCCATTCAGGGGAACAACATATTAAAAAATGGCACAAATCAGACCAGGGGTTCAAAAGTTAGTAAAAAGTCCTTTGTGACTAAATGAAGCATGGCTTTCTGGCCCAAACCAGTTTCAGAGTCTTCTATCCTGAGATAAGTAATTCAATTATCTCCCAGGACAGACACAAGACTCCATTAAGCACATGGTTGCAAAAAGACACAAAACACTTTAAAATACATAAAGTCACATTTATTACATAAAACACAGACATGTAACATATCCCCAGATAGCTCAGGTCGAGCGCACATTATTAAGCGAATGGCGCTCAGACCACACGAATACAGTTTAATCGCCATGGAGCCAAAGTCTTTACAGTCAGTTTCATACGAATGGGCTCCATGGGATTCCTATCTGGGGTATAACACATTCAAACAAATCTACCGGACCCCAGGCAGAAAAGCACGAATGAAGCTTTTCTGCAGGTAAAAAAGATGTCTTTTAACAGGGGGCCATAGTCCAAAGGCAGCAGGCGAGCAACCAGGCTTCTCCAATGCAATGTGGCGAGATTGGTCTCGTCACAACTCCTACAGCCATGATGCTGGCAAAGCATCAGGGGGATGTAGTCCGCAACATCTGAAGTGCTGAAGGATGTCTATCCCTACTTAGTATCTTAGGGTCACAGGTGACCTAAAATTTTTATTCCTTTATTATGTTTTCTTAATAAAGGGACAAATGTTTTTGTCAGTGTAATGAAGCCACATGGCTCTCTCTAATTGCTCTAACAGCTTACAGCAAATATATGTACTGACAACATGGAAAATAAGTCAGTCACACTTGGACTGCATGAATGAATGATGGTAACTGAAAAGAATATTATTGCCAACTTCTAATCGATGAAAACAACAAAAATCCAAAGGTAGTATCATATGTTGCATGGGCACCTTTGATGCATGTTGGGAAATGATAATGGGTATCTTCAAAACGTTTTGGCCCATACTAGTGTTATGGGCAAATGCAAATATTACAAGTTTTAGAATGAAATGTTGTATTTCTTAAACTGTGTACTTTGTCTTTAAGAGATATTGCAAACTGACAAGGTGTTAGGAATGGAACATATTGTTTTTCATAACTGTTTCTTTAAACAATAACCTCTTACCTACCTACAGTGCATAATATGTTTGCACCATTTTGTCCCAGACGAATTACAATAACAATAATGCATAAGCAAGCTTCAAGGTTATGCTACGACTCTTTCAGTATGCAATATACTGTGGTAACCTTAGTAGATAAGGATGTTCAGACATTAAGATGCCATCTTGAACTGTCAGGAAAATTTCCATGACGTATGCACCCTTTAGATATGGCCTTGTATGTTTGCCAAATTAAGGGAGGTCCTAAAATGAATAAAGTAAAAGAAGTGTTACTTTTTCATATATGAACTACGGTAACCCTAAAATGGAAACACCTAAGGTATAAATAGGTGTACTTTTAAATGTTAAGGAACAGAGGAGAGGCTGACATGATGACATGTTCATAAGGGTATGAAGGGTATGTTATCCTATTAATGATATTTGCAAGCATTTAGTTTAATCTTATAAACTCTGCTGTAATGGATTTTATATGTCTATATTTATATTTTTATATAATAAATACCAAAAAGACAAAACTTTATTGCTTCCAAGACATCCTTATTTTATATTGTATTCTCAATTATTTATATATGTTAAATAGAGGATCTCTTACACTAACTATATAAAATTATAGCTAAGATATTTGTATGGTTAGCCTATGCTTTAAGACCTTATAGTGGTAAATAAGGCAACCAGCCGTGGTTACACTAGTATCAGATAGACACCTTAAGGATGTCGTGACACCTCATCCATCTATTACGGAACGCAGATGGAGAAATTTGAGAAACCTTTTGTCACCCAGTCATCTCCCCGCTAGTGCCACCTCAGGTCACCCTAAAAACTATTTACCAGCGGGCACCTACCAATGTGGTCATTGTAGTGCATGTCCCTTTATCAACAGACATTATAAGACCTACTCCAGTAGCACCAATATGGAAATGTTTAGATCACACTCTTTCTTTAGTTGTTGCACCATTGGAATAGTCTATCTACTCACCTGTTCTTGTGGCCTGATGTATGTGGGTAAGACATTTCGCCTATTTAAATACAGAATGCAGGAATACATTAATTCAATATGGAGACGTCTGGAAACCCCAATTCCAGGCATCTACATCACCATCATGACCACTTCTCAGCTCTTATAAGATTTATGAGTCTGGAACACGTACCTCAACCAACGAGTAAAGGGGTTGGTACATTAAACTTTGTCAGAGAGAGGCGTTCTGGATTTATAGGTCAAAAACACTATCGCCACAGCGATTAAATAAAGGGTTTTCTTACACCCCCTTCATATGATACAGGGACTGATTCTGTGACTATGTGGCTTTTTATTGTAAGCTAGTATGCTATACAACAATTGTTGTCTAAACCTTTTTAACCTTTTTAGTTACTTGCACTTTTTAATTGGTGTCTTTAATCACTAATTTTGCTCTCATCTAAATATGTATAATGATGACTGACTACTTGTGACATTATAGTAGTTCATGTATTCTTCAGTGGCTCTTTATACCACTTTATGTAACATTTATTATAGATACTCAACTTACAGCTATACTTATGATTACATGTGGGAGGTACCTTCTAATGGGTCAACCCACGTTGGCACTATTCATCCATAATGCATTCACCCATCATGTATTCGTCTTATGCCTGCCTTATAATTATTTCAAGTAATGGTATTAACCCTTCTTTACAGCTAACTAGGACATAATATAACTTTCTTTTCGTTGTGGTATAAACAAGGGTATAAAATATTATGGTAACTGCCCGCTATGTATGTTGGTTTGCAGCAATTGCATGTGGTTTGTGCTTGATGATGGGATGACCCATCCCATTACTATTGAAAACACCCACTCTGCGCACGTCATGGATGCTGCCCACGTCCCACGTTGGGTCGGACCTATGACGCTGCATACTGATGTCTCCTGTGCACACAGTTTGATATGGGCGAATGGATGCTGCTTTCCTGTAATGGGTAATGTGAACAAATATTGCCTAATTGGCCTACAGCTATGCTAGTCAGAGGTGGTGACTGCCTATTGGCCGTTTTCCCAACCCCATTGATTATACACCTACCTATTAGGTCTGGCTACACTTCAAGTAAGGGGATTGGATGAGACATCTTTGTGCACTACCCCCTGACCAATTGATTCTGTTATGGCTCATTGTTTATATGGTATTCAAACAGACTACTGGATGAGACAGACTACTTTGCCCCTGCCGACTGATAGTATCACACCGAAACGCGCGTCAGGCTCTTTTACTATTTTTAATTATGCACTTATTTTCACGTTAGGTAGCACTTCGCCTTTTCTTTGAGTTATCTCTGCAGGGTCTATGGTTTAGGTAGGCACTAGCCTAGTGCGGTGCTGAGGTATTAGGGACATAGTATTTTTGTGGGGTACGATGTGTACCTATTATTGATTTTCTAGCAGTGGAGTAATTCTGCTCTTCGTATACTCAGCTCTTTATCTACAATTTTCGCTGGATGAGAAATTTCATTCTTTCTGAGTGATATGCAGACAATTCCCTTGTGTACCCATCTAGCCTTTGACAGTACCTGTATATTAGCAGGATATCTAACCAGAGTGGAGTTACCTTTGTGCCTCTCATCTGTCCTATAGGGCTACCCTCTATCTGGCATTCAGACACTGTCTTTCCTATTTAGGACCCCTAGTTAGATATAGTGGTTCTATGTTATAGTCTTAATAAAGGTTTTTAATTCAATTTATTTTGGTTTTGCTACTATACTATTTTAGGTTGTACTCTTTCTCATACTGCCCCTCTGTTGGGAGTGGATGAGTGAACGATAGCAAGTGCCTGCATGTAATGCAAAATAAAGGAAAGGGTGGTCAATTAACAATGAGTTTATCAAGCAGGCTTGGGGTTTTCGCAGTCTACCCACACCGGTACAGGAATGTGCAAATTACACAGTATATCAGAATCAGAAATCGTGAAACTCTCTATACCAGTGGTCTCAATTCAAATTACTTGGGGGTCACTGGCCTAGTAATCCTTTCACATGAGGGCAGCTTGTAAAAATCACAAATCACAAAATTGCAAAGAAACATAAGTAACCACAGCCGGTTCCCCTATTTACCATAGTGAGAGAGCTAAGTACAACGTATATGAGAGAATTAAAAGACGCATGTTGTTTAATAGAGTGCGAATGCTGGAAAAGAAAAATGAACCCTCTGAATAGGATGTATCAAAGGTAGCCAAGTATAATTTAAACAGATATGTGACCTAGTTAGGTGGCCTATTAAACTGACAGAGTATTGAGAACCTAGCCGAGAGCTTGCTTACAAAATAAAAGAACTGTTAGTCATGACAAGTGATGTCGCGAACATAAAATTTTCGGTTCGCGAACGGCGAACGCGAACTTCCGCAAATGTTCGCGAACCGGGCGAACCGCCATAGACTTCAATAGGCCGGCAAATTTTAAAACCCACAGGGACTCTTTCTGGCCACAATAGTGGTTGAAGGGGGGGGGAGGAGACCTACTCTCCTCCCTCTGGGCCCCCACCCCTGGGCGGCGGGTGGGGGCCATAAAGATAATGAGGGGGGGACCTACTGTCCTCCCCCTCTCCGGCCCCCACCCCTGGGTGGCGGGTGGGGGCCATAATGATAATGAGGGGGGACCTACTGTCCTCCCCCCCGGCTCCCACCCCTTGGCGGCGGGTGGGGGCCATAAAGATAATGAGGGGGGGACCTACAGTCCTCCCCCTCTCCGGCCCCTACCCCTGTGCGGCGGGTGGGGGCCCTAAAATTAACAATAAGGGGGGATCTATTATCCCCTGTGGCCCCCACCCCTGAGCGGTGGGTGGGGGCCCTAAAATTAACAATACGGGGGGACCTACTGTACCCCCCCGCCCCCACCCCTGAGCGGTGGGTGGGGGCCCTAAAATTAACAATAAGGGGGGACCTACTGTCCCCCCCGGCCCCCACCCCTGAGCGGTGGGGGCCCTAAAATTAACAATAAGGGGGGATCTATTGTCCCCCCCCCGGCCCCCACCCCTGAGCGGTGGGTGGGGGCCCTAAAAATAACAATAAGGGGGGGACCTACTGTCCCCCCCCCGGCCCCCACCCCTGAGCGGTGGGTGGGGGCCCTAATAACAATAAGGGGGGGACCTATTGTCCCCCCTGGCCCCCACCACTGAGCGGTGGGTGGGGGCCCTAAAATTAACAATAAGGGGGGGACCTATTGTCCCCCCCGGGCCCCACCCCTGAGCGGTGGGTGGGGGCTCTAAAATTAACAATAAGGTGGGACCTATTGTCCAGGTGATTGCGAGGACCCCACAATCATATTGCCCAGGAAGGCTGGATCAGATGGAGGGGGACTGCCTGGGCTCGCAGGCAATCCCCAGGATCGCGACCGCAGAGGTTTGCGGGGACCTAGTAAGTAGTAAGAATGGCGAAAGGAAAAAAAGGAGGATTTAAACGCATTAAAACTCCCAAATAGAAAATTTAAAGTTAAAGGGATACCCTATGCACTAAAACAGCATAATGACGTGGTTTTTATCGATAGATCATGCCCTTGCAGTCTAAATGCTCAGTAGACTAATATTTAGGAGTTAAATCACTTTGTTTGTACAGCCTAAGACAGATGTATTTACGAAATAAAAACAGTGATAAAAGATTGTGCTAAAAACTATTAAAATATCATATATAGAACCAGTGCGGCATACAGAAAATCACCAAAGTGTATAGTCACTGAATAACACTTACATACAGAAATAAAACAACAGGGAATATGGTGATTGCGCACACAGTAGATGATATCCTTGTATTAAATGAGATCCCTATCTGGGGGTTCTGTGGGTATAAAAAACATTCATAGGGTAATACATCTCAAAAGAAAAAGTGATCCTAGGGCACAAATGTCCAGGATACACGGATAGGATATATCAGAGCTTACTGTTACTGATAAAAACCATAAGTTTTTTAATCATCATAAGCAAAGACAAACAAAATAATAATAAAAAACACACTACCCCAAAAATAAACCCATAAAGAGGAGATAATGAAGCTCAGTAGGCTAGGAAGGGGTGGCCAAATGAAGTCGCAATACTAGAGGTTAGATAATCCTATATGGCATATAAGCCACCGATAGAAGTATGAATAGCTATAGAACCTATATTGGAGACTGGGTAAATCTCCAAGTACCCCTAGTGTGAAGCCAATCAGTTGTAAAGTCCTAGAACTGATAATGTAAATATGCACTGAATAGACATTTAGGTAAACACTCTAGCCCTGTTGACCCAGATATAGCAAATCTCTTGGGATAAAATAGTGAACAGCTAATTCAAGTGATTGTCCACACTAAACTTTTGCACATATTGTGCTAAAAGCTATCCATTATTAATCCTGTGTATAGGAAGGCTACTGAGTAATTAGGAGACAAAGTCCCTTTCTAAAGAGTGCTTAAATCTGGCTTCTATTCCCCATAAATTAATTTAACACCCCAAACATAAAAGTGCTGTGAGTTTAAAAAATTAGCCTAATGCATTTCGGCGCTTAAACGAGCGCCTTTCTCAAAGGCTATCAATGAGGACACTAACCTGAGCATGTATTTGTACCTAAAGCGGCACTGTGCAGTGCCAATCCACGAGACAATGGGCGGAGTTACATTTACACGCCCCCAGGTCAGAGTGGTGGTGGGGGCATCATGGTTTGGGGCTGCTTTGCTGCGTCAGGGCCTGGACGGATTGCTATCATCGAAGGAAAAATGAATTCCCAAGTTTATCAAGACATTTTGCAGGAGAACTTAAGGCCCATCTGTCTACCAGCTGAAGCTCACTTTTTCTTTTGCATGTCAATATTTAGGGTTACCCCCTGATATTTTCAGGACACACTCCATGGTCCCTGCCTATGGGAGGGATTATTTTCTGTTTTTTCCTTTTGAGTAATACATCTCAATACAAATACAATAATATAAAACTTGGAAAAACTCACAATATTTAGAGCCTTTCTGAGTTGGCTCTAAACTTTAGAGGCAGATACATCAATCAGATGTGGATTTGAGCTTTTAGGTCCCTTGGAAGATATCTGGAGTCTTCTTTCTTATAAAAATCAGGAACCAGGTTGCCAAATGGATAAAAGGTAAATACATTTATTGAAACAAAATTAAATAAAATGGAGCACAACGCGTTTCAACCTAATGCAATAGGTCTTCCTCAGGTGCATAGTGCCACAACCTTCTAATATAGTATTCATAATAAATATAATTACATTACAAATATTAACAGCTGTGGATTGATGGTCAATCCTCTTCGCCATATATGGAGTGTTTCCGGCAATCATCTGAGTATATTCGCCTCCTCCAAGATGTCCACCGTGCCATTATAATAAAGGTACATCAGACCTTCCAAAGATGGCGTCTTTGCCATCTCGCTAAAAATAGTCACTTCCGGTTTCGTCCGGCTCTGATCACATGATCCGGCTCCGATCACGTGGTTAGAGAGGGCGTAGACATGTAGTTTATTATATGTCAATCATAGAAACAGAGTCTGTTTCATATCCAAATTATACAAAGATAAGAGAAAAAGGAAATGTGAATAATAACAATATGCAGAAAATAAACTAACAATATTCCATTTGGCAATATAAAATATAACAATATAGCAATAATTATATGTTTAAAAAATATAAAACTAGCAAGTATGCTTATAGTCCTTAAACCAAAGGTAAAAAGAGGGGAGAGGGAGAAGTTAAGTTGTAAAATAAATATAATCCTGTAACAATGAGTATAAAACATATAAAAATAATATATATAAAAATAGTATGTGTGATTATAACCCTTAAACCAAAAGTGAAAAAAAGGTGGGATTAAGTTATAAAATTGGACCTATTTCAAAATCAATATTTAGACCTTTGGAGCATAATGTTTGAAGCTCATATATCCAATTTGATTATTTTTTACTTAAATTAAAAGCACTATTAAAGGAAGTGATGTTAAAATTCTTTTTAGTTAAATTCGATATAAAATCATCTTTTTTTTCTTAGTTACATGGGTGTTTTTTCAGGTATAACAGTTGCCACAATGATGAAAGCCTTTTGGGGTTTTTGACCATTTTGTTAGAAAATAAAGGTTCTTATCCTTTTTTTCTATGTAATTTGAGGTTAAAATCTGCTTAAAATTTTTTGCCCCCCTAAAAATGAAGTTAGGCTTATCTCCTCTAAAATCATACATTTCATGTTCTTGCTGCAAGATGTGCCAGTTCTTATTCACAATTCTTTTTAATATACCAACATTACTACAATAGTTAAAAATAAGTGGGATTTGCTTATCCTGATTATTGGTGTGTCTGTGTCTGGTGTAGTCTGCGTGCTTCGGATATCAACTATGTTGCTCCAAGAGCCAAACTACAAAAGCTCGGTATGACAAGGTGTGATGATCTATACCTTTGATGTACATTTATAATATAAATTAGTATATTAATAATTGTATTCACCACCTGTAAGCGTTCTCATTAATCCACAAATTATTTATACCTGAATCACATTTAAGGCACATACAAAACATTGCATAAAGGAATGTGATGCCTATAAAATACCTATAAAAGTAACCTTATTCTACTTAACTTGCTTCATATATAAGAAGGTTGAAGTCAAAGAGACACTTGCAGTTTACTTTCTTAAGAAGAAACATTTCCAATTCTTCATATAACTCAATCAGAGATCAACATGAAGCATCAAGGCAGCTACTCTTCTTCTGGATCCCTCAGAGTAGGCCACAGCTCTAGAGGCCATTGTTCCTCTGGTAGCATCTCTTCACTTCATCATGGAAGCTCCAATACACTTCACCATAAGAGCTTCAGCTGCTCTAATACTGGTGGTTCCTATAAATCATCCAGCCACCTTGGAGGAAACTCAAAACTATCTATCAGTTCATCTGCTGGTCTTGCACATGGAGGTGGAAGTGGCCATGGTGGCCTTACAAGTCATCTCAAGAGTTCTAACAACCACGCTCATAACCTACTTCGTATTAATGAGAAAGATACAATGAGGGCTCTGAATGAGCGTCTTGCCTCCTATTTAGACAAGGTCCATTCGCTGGAGCAGGAGAATGCTGAGCTGGAAAGGAAGATATGTGAATGGTATGCAAACAATGCCCCAAGCTCACTCCCTGACTCCAGTGAGTACTATAGGACAATTCAGGAGCTACAGAACCAGGTAAACCAAGACATGTATGAGTTTATCTCCAATGTGGTCAGTTGTAGGATGATCTTACCTACAATGCATGTTTTAATGAGTTAAAGTAAACTTGTCCTTCAATAAAACATTACATGAGAAAATATATTGTATACACTGTATACATTTCATTCTGATTTGAACTAAACCAATACATATGCCATTAAAGACTTCTTCTAATGTGGTTATCCTACTTACAATGTATGTTTTAATGACTTAATAAACGTACCATTCTGTAAAATAATTCTAGTCCTAAAAACTCATGTAGAATTGACTGTATAATTGAGATACAGAGATGGTCAAAACTGTTTTATATAACTTATATAATAAAAAATGTTATATACACTATATAAATAGTATGATGTTGTTACATTCAAGAATGCAGCATTTCAAATTCTGAACACAGAGCCTTAAAAATCGCATGTGGTTCAGCTTTTCTCACATAGAAAATATAATATCAGTGTGTATAAACAACAGAACATTTTCTCATAACTTTAGTTATAGTCAAATATAGTTCACGGAGACCAAAATGTTTAAGCAAAAGAAGTAATACAAATTATTTTTAGAGATTAATTGAGAATGACTTTGCTTACCAGATTTCTTTGGCGACAATTAACAGTGGAAGGATTGTCCTACAGATAGACAGCGCTCAACAAGCTTCAGATGACTTCAGAAGCAGGTAAGTCTATGAAGTTATAAGAGTTAAAGAGATAAGTGAAGACTTTGCTTTATACAACTGTTGCAGCATATATATTGTAAAGGTGACTTTGTGTGGCAAAATATAAATATAAACATATATTCATCAAGTATGGTGGTTAGTATTAAATGAATAATTAAAAAAACAATATTAAAAAAAATCTAAAAAGCTCTCATTTCTCACAAACAAACCTATTTTTATATTGTTACAGCAAAACATTCAGCATAGAATTATATATAACTTCAGTTTAATGAAAATTCTCTCAAGTCAACGATGAGGTCTACCAGCACTGAAGTAACTGCTCTAGTAATGTTCTTACTAAGTTTTCGGTTGAGGAAAGTTAGTGCAGTAGCTGTAAACTTTCTTATGTGTTCTATTAAGGTGTCTATTATGTTTTATAGTAAGCATTAGTTTTGTCTAGTATGGTTTTAACTGTTAGAAGCCATAAGTTCTTTGGTGGATTTTCTTTTGTTGTCTGTGTCTTTGTTTTTCTTAAATGTCCACTTTGTAAAATAGACTGAGTTACGACCATAGGTTAGAAGATAGTGTTGACCTTTATGGTAGACTATTGGCTAATTTAGGATTATCAAGGCATTATAATTTATCCATAACTATTTCTCTATATTGTTGCATGCCGTGTAATCACAGTACAATATATTGTAAATACCTTTATGCAATCCTTTACTAACTGCACATGGCATTGCCGTAGTTATCATGAAGCTGCGTTTTTGTCATGTTATTCCACACCGGAAAAAATACTTTCAACCAGCGTTAAATTGAAAAGTGATAAAAAGGTGATGCCATGCCTATTCTCAGAATTGATTATATAATATAGTGTGCTCTTTTATTATTATTATTATCAATTTAGGTGTGAGATGGAGATAAACACAAGGAACAATGTGGATGGAGATACTGGTTCTTCCAGAAGAGTCTTACAACAAATTAACAATGAAGTGCAAACCTTATCCGCAGAAGTCCAAGGTCTCCAGCAAGAACTTTTCCAGATGAGGAACAACCATTCAGGGGTTAAGTGGAAAGATGTCAATGGCCTATTATTATAATTTATTAAAACACTACTGAGAACAAAGATGTTTTTGGAATAATTACAGGACTTCAAATGTCAAGTCGTAAGCTACTAGCCAGGCCTCAACAGTTTTTTGCCACTGCAGCCTAGAGAATCCTTGGCACTTCTACCAGTGGTAACTTTGTACGATGCAGGGCTAAATTTTTACTCCGAATGTCCAGTTAATTTGTTTCCATTAATTAATAAAAGTGAACAGTTTTGGGGATCTCTTTCTTGCATACATCGTGAGTGTTTGTTTACACATTCAAACCTAAGGGTTATTTATTTCTTTATAAATTACTTTAAAATCTTTCTTTCACGTCTTACACTAGTCCTTTGTCTTTTTCAAAGGAAGTGGATGGTCTGCGTGCTCAGCTTGGAACCAGAGTCAACGTAGAAATGAATGCTGCTCCATCCATCGACCTGAACAGAGCTCTATCTGAGCTCAGAGAAGAATATGAAAATATGATGGAGAGGAACCTCAGGGAAGTCGAGGGCATGTTCTTGGCAAGGGTAATTCTAACCATAATATCATGGAGCAACTAGCTGACAGTAAACTATAACACTGTAACTATAGACCCATACCAGATTGGTAAGATCAGTATTATATTTTTACGTGAAATTTTTTTTTCTTGCAGAGTGCAGAACTGGACCATGAGATGTCTTTAGGAGCCGTTCAATTGCAGTCAGTTAATAATGATATCATTGATTCAAAGCGGTCTTTACAGACCCTGGAGATCGAGCTGCAGAGCCACCTAAGTATGGTATGTCAGCATGAATTAAAATATGTAAACACATATAAAGCAACACCATGACTATATTCCGCATTTGCTGTCTTAATTGGTTCTAATAATGCTTTATTGACTACAAAGTCACTTGTGTCAGTCTTTAGATTAAGAAAGTTTACCCTTGGCAATTTTTTATGCCTCCAAGTTGTGCCAATAATAGTAACTGCACTTGTGTCTTTTAAATGATGTGCATTTCATATTAGTAATAATTCTGGAGATAAAATAAAATCCTTTTATAATATGATATTTAACAAGTCCTGCTATTTTTGGAGGTTGACTACATACAGTTTGGTTTAATTGTGTTTTCGATGATGACCTTTTAGTTTATGCTGAATGCTTTCCCGAGAAATGTTTCCATTGCTGTATAGGAAATTATATCTCATTCATATATAAAAGATTAAAGGCATGTTGAATGTTAACTCTCAATTTTAAGAGTTACTTAATGCCTTTGTACTGAATCTCCCAATATTTCTGGGTGAGCATTTTATTAGACAACACACAAATGTAACAATGTGTAGTGGTGGTACTCGTCAACCTTTACTTTCAACATTTGTGATCTATTGTTAGTACACTACAATATATCCAACCATTGACACACAACACAAAGAAGCAAAGCCAGCTATTTTAACTAATATCATCATGATGGAATATGGGAATTTTTTGAACTTTTAAATATATTAAACAATAGTACAATAATATGATGTAAAAAATAAATCCCTGAATAAAGGATCATATTCTTATTTAGTTAAGTAATATTGCTGTGTCATCATTGGCAGAAATCAGCTCTAGAGGGCACCTTATCAGAGACGGAGGCAACGTTTGGTTCTCAGCTTTCCCAGTTACAATGCATGATTGATAACATTGAAGGTCAGCTGACACAGATCCGATCTGACCTAGAACAACAGAATCATGAATACCAAGTTCTCATGGACCAGAAGACTCATCTAGAGATGGAAATCAACACCTATAGACATCTGCTGGATGGACATGACATTCAGTGCGTATTACAATTTTTTGTCAAATTTAGTTGTTAAGTATTCAGATCAAAAAAGGAGAAGAAAAATGAAATAATGCTGGTATAAGTGTAGTCATCATGATGGAAAAGTTGACAAAACTTGGCTATTGATATATCTTCATATTCATGTATAACACCAATACATGGGGCACTTACCTACATTAATGAGTATACAGTCACAAGTGAGCTTAATAAACACTAGAATATTTTAAATGAATTAGCTTATTGAACATAACGTAAAACATAATATTTGTAACTGAGGTGGGCAGTTAAATGTTTATATTAATTGAATAGATGAGATAGGTGGCTGAGGGAGACAACTAAGGAGGAGATAATTATTGGTCGTAAATAAATTACAAAATGGGGTTTCACAGAAGGTCATATACCTTCTGTGAAACCACATTTTGTAATTTATTTACGACCAATAATTAGATGGGTTTTGGGGTACATAAAATTATAAATGAGGTGGCTGATTAGATAGTTTGTTTTAATATTAGGGTTTAGAAGGAAGAAGATGTGCAACTAGGAAGAATCCAGGAAGTTGGTGGTAAGGATGTAAATAAAGCAGAGATGATGAGCGTAGTTTACGTAGTAGATTAATAAGAAGACGAAGGGAAGTGCAATGTGCTAATCAGAAGTGGCCAAAACATAGATCCCCACCTGTTACATAACCACAGATCACATGTTGCTTTACTAATTGTAAGGTTGACAGTGAAACATTGGGATTATATGTCCGCAATAGCTGGGTATCCAGTTTCTGGATGCACCTTTTTTAGAGGGATTTTTTTTAATAGTTAAAGCATTATTAATTAGTTTATTAGTAATCCTGAACGCATATTACGAAGTATGAAGTACTAAGTACTGAAGAATGTTGATGTTAAGGCAACACAATATCTGCTGCTCTATATTACAGTTAATTTCACCTAAGGTAATTGTGTATTTTTGATAACAAATATAATACACACCTCTCTCATATCAGTTCTTCTAAACATTTCTAAATCTTTTCACAGTATTGCCAATCATACCAGTTCTGGAGGTGAGTTATATACATCACAATAAAAAAATTACATTTGCAACGAAAATACTTAGCTATGTATTGCAATGATATTTGATATTTCTAAACCTTGCTTATTGATCCAACTGTTATACAGTATAAAGGGAATTAACACAGTAAAGGAGGAGACTATATTTAAAAGAAGAAAAACTACCACAACAAGAGGACATAGTCTTAAATTAGAGGGCAAAGGTTTAATAATAATATCCGGAAGTATTACTTTACTGAGAGGGTAGTGGATGCATGGAATAGCCTTCCAGTTGAAGTGGTAGAGGTTAACACAGTGAAGGAGTTTAAGCATGTGTGGGATAGGCATAAGGCTATCCTAACTATAAGATAAGGCTAATGAAAGTATTTAGAAAATTGGGCAGACTAGATGGGCCGAATGGTTCTTATCTGCCGTCACATTCTATGTTTCTATGTTTCTATTACTTTCTTAAGATTTAATCAACCCAAAAATAAAAGATGTAATAAAGTCTGTGTGCCCATCTAATTTTTCCACGTCTGCTCTGTTCTAGCATCCCATCACAACAAGTGCAAGTAATGGCCGTGTGCTTCTCAATAAGCTCTTGATGCCTCTCTAGAAAAAGAATAACATGAATTGAATCATTATGAAATCAACTTCTCTGGAATTAGCAATCTGCCTTTATTGTCTTTCATTAATTCCCTTTCCATTCCTAAACTGATACTGATTAAATGCAAGTGAAAATCCAACACAAAATATATTAGCTATGTGTACAAGTAAAACTGATATTGTTCTGAATTATTGGACACTGTTTGCGTCATATTGTTCCTGAAAAAAATAGAACTCATCTACAGGTTGTATATCAATGCAATATTTACAATGACTTTATGCAGCTTTATCGAAGGATGGTGTTGAGTGGTTTGCCTAGCAAATATTATATGAAAGAACATTTGAATTTCCAAGTACTGAAAGCATTTTATAACTGTTTCACGAAATTATAATTCTAAGACAATGTTGATCGGCTGTATATTTTTTTGTAAACTAGTATTTTACTAATATTGTAAAGCACTGCGGATTACGTGGGCGCTATATAAATGCCAAAAATAATAATGAAATAATAATAATATATTTATCGTTTGGATTTAAGTTTTGTGGGAACTTTTGGACTGTATTGTAATTACAACTTTATTGTAACTGACTCTACAATTCTTATGAAATAAATCATTTTTCTTTGTCTTCTGCAAACCCGGTGGTGTATTTGTATTTTGTATTATGAAAGCTATATTTACTGTGCTAAGAATTACAATTAAGACAGATCAACTTTAACCCCTTAAGACCGGAGGGCGTACAATTATGCCCTATTTTAGGCGGCTCTAAACGCCGCCGGGCGTAATTGTACGCCCTCCGGTCTTTTCTTACTTACTCGGTAGATCCTCTTCCTCCGGTGCCCCCCGGCCATGTGAGAGTGAGGTCCTTGCGAGGACCCCACAATCACATGGCCGGGGGCAGCTGCCTTCTGCATTGCCAGCAGGGGGGCTGCCTGTAATGACAGGTGGTCCCCCTGCTGGCTTGAAATGAAATTAAAATAAATTAATTAAAAAGTAAAGTGTAAAAAAAAATATATATATATATATATACTTAGATCATATATATACTATATATATATGATCTAAGTATATATATATATATATACACATATACATACACACACATACACTGTCTAGGTGTATTTTACTACTAATATATATATAATTATATATATATTAATATCAAATTACACGTAGACTGTTACTGAATAAATATATATATAATTATTGTTATATATATATGTATATATAATATAAAAAAATTAAATATGTAAATATATTAAAAAATAAAATTAAAAATATAATTAAAAAAAATAATTAAAAAATATATAGATGTGTTATTTCGTTCAAACTGTATTGTGATATTAATATATATATATATATATTTATATCAAAATACACGTAGAACGAAATTATATATATCTACATACATAATTATATACGTATACATCACTATATATATCTATATATAAATAAAAATATTTAAAAAAATTAAATATATATACACATATAGATTCACATACGTATATATATACATATATTAATTCTACATATATATTTATGTAATTTTATGGTGTTTTCAAAAGTTACAGCGTCAAATATAAGGCTTGCGTTTCATTTTTTTCACATTAAAATTCGCCAGATTGGTTACGGTGCCTTTGAGACCCTATGGTAGCCCAAAAATGAAAATTACCCCTATGATGGCATACCATTTGCAATAGTAGACAACCCAAGGTATTGCAAACAGGGTATGTCCAGTCTTTTTTAGTAGCCACTTAGTCACAAAAACTGGCCAAAATTGGCGTTTTTTTGCATTTTTCCCACAAACAAATACTAATGCTAGCTTTGGCCAGTGTTTGTGACCAAATGGCTACTAAAAAAGACTGGACATACCCAATTTGCAATACCTTGGGTTGTCTACTATTGCAAATGGTATGCCACTGTGGGTGTAAATTTCATTCCTGGGCTACGATAAAGTCCCAAAAGCAACGTAACCAATCTGGCGAATTTCCATTTCAAATGTAACGTGCTATATTTGACCCTGTAACTTCCCAAAACGCCATAAAACCTGTACATAGGGGTACTGTTTTACACATGAGACTTTGCTGAATACAAATATGTGCAGTAAAAGCAAACCGTATTATGACATTGACAGTTAAAATGTCATGTAGAACGAAAAAAGTAAAAAAAAAAAATGTTATTTTCTCCCATTTTTTTCATATTAAATTATGTTTCATAATTTTTGATATTAAATGAAAGCCCTGTTTCCCCTGAATAAAATGATATATAATAAGGGTGGGTGCATTTACTATGAAAGAGTGAATTACGGTTGGACAGACATGTAGCGCAAACGCCAGGTTTTTTTTACATTTTGTTTCGTTCACAACGTGTACATTTGGCTCCGTCCTTAAGGGGTTAAATGTTAAGAATATTTATAGTGTACAAAACAAACAAACCAACAACAACAAAAAACAAATCTACCTCCACTACAGGCAATGTAGACTGTGAAATGTACAACATCTTTGAAGCATTGTAAAGAAGAGTTTATTGGTTTGATATTTTTGAGAACGGCTAACGCAGGTATTCACAAAAGTCAGAATTCAAAGTGAATTTAGAATTTAAGGCTAAAATCCCCCCAACTGGACGCTTGCTGTGAATCCAGTTTGGTTACTTTGGCCTAACATTTGAAATCCATTCACTTTGAATTCTCACATTTGGGAATAACCCTGTAAGAGTAACTAAATAACGTAGGAATTCATGAATTGCAGATATACAAACAAAGCATATTTTAATTTTGTAAGCATCAGTTTATCGGGTATCGATTTGGTTAAATGTGACAACATTCTCTAAAATATTATTTTAATTCTAAGAAAAAAACTGTCTGTTTATATTACCAATATATAATATTCATCTGTGATGATAAATATAAAAATATATTAAAAAAATATATATAATTTGAGAACGACATACTTGTATAGTTTTATTTTTGTGTTTTAGTGTCACATGGGAGAGCAGCACATTGTTTTGGTCTCTGCTGTGGCTCACCTAATAGAAATAGGTGGAGACCTATCATCAAGCCCCTACTTCAGGGATAGGAACCCTTCGACATTCCATATGACGTGCACTACATCTCCCGTAATACTCCTACAGCCATGATGCTGGAAAAGCATCAGGGGGATGTAGTCCGCAACATCTGAAGTGCTGAAGGATGTCTATCCCTACTTAGTATCTTAGGGTCACAGGTGACCTAAAATTTTTATTCAATTATTATGTTTTCTTAATAAAGGGACAGATGTCTTTGTCAGTGTAATGAAGCCACATGGCTCTCTCTAATTGCTCTAACAGCTTACAGCAAATATATGTACTGACAACATGGAAAATAAGTCAGTCACACATTGGACTGCATGAATGAATGATGGTAACTGAAAAAAATATTATTGCCAACTTCTAATTGATGAAAACAACAAAAATCCAAAGGTAGTATCATATGTTGCATGGGCACCTTTGATGCATGTTGGGAAATGATAATGGGTATCTTCAAAACGTTTTGGCCCATACTAGTGTTATGGGCAAATGCAAATATTACAAGTTTTAGAATGAAATGTTGTATTTCTTAAACTGTGTACTTTGTCTTTAAGAGATATTAACAGACTTTTCTAAAATTAGAATATGGGTAGAGGAGTCATTATCAGACTGGAGCAATTTAAATGAAGTCCAAGAGAATTGGGATTATTTAAAAGTTGCACTATTGAAGGCAACATAAAATTGCATTAGGCTTGTCAGTAAAAGCCAAAAATTCAAGAAACCACTGTGGTACTCTGCAGATGTGGCCAAAATAGTTAAAAACTAAAAGTTAGCATTTAGGAATTATAAAAAAACCCAGAGTGAGGAAGACAAAATGATCTATAAGATTAGGCAGAAAGAGGCTAAGCAAGTTATAAGAGCTTCAAAATCACACACAGAAGAGAAAATAGCACAGTCAGTAAAAAGGGGGGATAAAACATTTTTTAGATACATAAATGAGAAAAGAAAAGTAAAACAAGGATTAGTTAGATTAAAAACAAAAGAAGGAAGGTATGTAGAAGAGGATAAAGGTCAGGCTGACTGCCTCAATGAATATTTTTGTTCCGTATTTACAGATGAAAATGAAGTAAAGGGACATCAGTTAAGAAAAAGGATAAATGAGTCATTTATTACACGTGAGTTTACAGCGTAAGAGGTTCTATTTCAACTGTCAAAAGTTAAGACAAATAAGTCAATGGGACCTCATGGAATACACCCAAAGCTATTAAAAGAGCTTAGTGGTGTACTAGCAAAACCATTAATAGATTCATTTAACCAATCATTGTTAACAGGAGTAGTCTCAGAAGATTGGAAGTTAGCGAATGTTGTGCCCATTTACAAGAAAGGTAGTAGGGAGGAGTCGGGCAACTATAGGCCAGTAAGCCTTACTTCAGTAGTGGGGAAAGTGATGGAAACCATGTTAAAGGATAGGATTGTTGAACATCTAAAAACACATGGATTTCAAGATCAGAGACAACATGGGTTTACTTTAGGGAGATTATGCCAAACTTATCTGATTGATTTTTTTGATTGGCTAACTAAAATTATAGATCACGATGGTGCAGTAGACATTGCTTACCCAGATTTCAGTAAGGCTTTTGACACTGTTGCACATAGAAGGCTTATCAATAAATGGCAATCTTTAAGTTTGGATTCCAATATTGTTGAATGGGTAAGGCAGTGGCTGAGTGACAGGCAACAGAGGGTTGTAGTTAATGGAATATATTCCAAGCTTGGACTTGTCACCAGTGGGGTACCTCAGGGATCTGTACTTGGACCCATTCTCTTTAATATTTTTATTAGTGATATTGCAGAAGGTCTTGATGGTAAGGTATGTTTTTTTGCTGATGATACTAAGAAATGTAACAGGGTTGATGTTCCAGGAGGGACAAGCCAAATGGCAAATGCTTTAGGTAAACTAGAAAAATGGTCAGAATTGTGGCAACTGACATTTAATGTGGATAGTGCAAGAAAAGGCATCTTGGATGTAAAAACCCAAGGACAGAGTACAGAATATTTGATAGAGTACTTACCTCAACATATGAGGAAAGGGATTTAGGGGTGATTATTTCTGATGACTTAAAGGTAGGGAGAGAATGTAATAGAGCAGAATAGAACTGGTGAGACCTCACTTGGAGTATTGTACACAGTACTGGAGACCGTATCTTCAGAAGGATATTAATACCTTAGAGAGGGTTCAGAGAGGGGCTACTAAACTGGTTCATGGATTGGGGAGAAAACTTATCAGGAAAGGTTAAAGGATCTTAACATGTATAGCTTGGAGGAAAGACGAGACAGGGGGGATATGATAGAAACATTTAAATATATAAAGGGAATCAAAACAGTAAAGGAGGAGACTGTATTTAAAAGAAGAAAAACTACCACAACAAGAGGACATAGTCTTAAATTAGAGGGACAAAGGTTTAAAAATAATATCCGGAAGTATTACTTTACTGAGAGGATAGAGGATGCATGGAATAGCCTTCCAGCTGAAGTGGTAGAGGTTAACACAGTAAAGGAGTTTAAGCATGCATAGGATAGGCATAAGGCTATCCTAACTATAAGATAAGGCCAGGGACTAATGAAAGTATTTAGAAAATTGGGCAGACTAGATGGGCCGAATGGTACTTATCTGCCGTCACATACTATGTTTCTATTGCAAACTGACAAGGTGTTAGAAATGGAACATATTGTTTTTCATAACTGTTTCTTTAAGCAATAATCTCTTACCTACATACAGTGCATAATATGTTTGCGCCATTTTGTCCCAGATGAATTACAATAACAATAATGCATAAACAAGCTTCAAGGCTATGCTACGACTCTTTCAGTACGTGATATACTGTGGTAACCTTAGTAGATAAGGATGTTCAGACTTTAAGATGCCATCTTGAACTAAGTCAGGAACGATATAAAATTATAGCTAAGATATCTGTATGGTTAGCCCTGCTAAGTTCTATGCTTTAAGACCATATAGTGGTAAATAAGGGAACCAGCCGCGGTTACACTAGTATCAGATAGACACCTTAAGGATGTCGTGACACCTCATCCATCTATTACGGCACGCAGAGGGAGAAATTTGAGAAACCTTTCGTTACCCAGCCACCCCTGCTATTGCCACTTTAGGTCAACCTAAAAACTACTTACCAGCGGGCACCTACCAATGTGGTCATTGTAGTGCATGTCCCTTTATCAACAGACATTACAGGGAGTGCAGAATTATTAGGCAAATGAGTATTTTGACCACATCATCCTCTTTATGCATGTTGTCTTACTCCAAGCTGTATAGGCTCGAAAGCCTACTACCAATTAAGCATATTAGGTGATGTGCATCTCTGTAATGAGAAGGGGTGTGGTCTAATGACATCAACACCCTATATCAGGTGTGCATAATTATTAGGCAACTTCCTTTCCTTTGGCAAAATGGGTCAAAAGAAGGACTTGACAGGCTCAGAAAAGTCAAAAATAGTGAGATATCTTGCAGAGGGATGCAGCACTCTTAAAATTGCAAAGCTTCTGAAGCGTGATTGTAGCGGATGGCACCAGGCGACCCTACAAAAATATTGTATAAAGCTGCATCCGTGTATCTGCTGTAATTTCTGTGTATTTAAAAAGAATTGTATTCCTCTGATTGTTCGGTAGTTTCATTCCCTTAGTTTATTCGAATGAAACTACCGAACAACCAGACCTCCCTGTGTGAAGTGTGTCCTCAATTATTGAACAGTAAGTAGCCGTCCTTTGTTCTCGGGGGTGGCCGCCATTCGACAAACGAACACGTGGCGGCGGCCATTTTAAAACTCCCGAACAGCGGTGTTTTGCCGTCGAGTGCCTGGAACTAAAATCGGACACTCGAGTAGGCGAACACCGCTGAGACCTCCACAGCCCTGGTCCGTTCGGTTCCAAACTACCGAACGGCCCCTCGTTCGGTAAATAGAGAATACCGAACGAGGGGATTCAGGCGAACCCTCCCTAGCCTCTATAGCTAGAGGCTTTCGTGTATTTATTCCCTTATGCCAGGACCGACCGCAAGGCCCATTCACATGGAACCGAATTCGGCTATCTCTGTTCGTGCGGTCGGTCATTTTATTCCCTCCATACTTTTCCCGAACCCCTGGTCCGATCTGGGTGATTTTTGGATATGTTGTTCACCCAGATCAGGACTACCCGGGGATGTATGATGTAAAGGGGTACCCCTACGTTTAGGGGTACATCCAGAAACGGGGGGAATTGGTGTGCTGGATAAGGGGATTATGATGCTGGCTGAGGGGAGGGGATGTGTGGGAGGTTACCAGGACAGGATTGGCTACTGTAATAATTACTGTAAGTTCCTCCCTTGCATGGGAGCATGCTTTATAAGGAGACTGTGATTAAAGGCTTGCCGGTTATGCTCCTGAAACTGTGTGTCGTCCAGTTATTGGGATTGCTGTTGGGATATTGCTGTATTTTACCTGCTGGAAACCCTGCCTTTGGATTTACTATTTACTTGTTCCTGAGTCTCACTTGGATTATAAGCGGAGATAACCTGGGTAATATTGCATCCCCGCTACATTGGTTGGCAGCGCTGGGATCCAGACTCACAGAGGAACAAGCCTAAATGGAGTACGGATGGAGATTGATTTTGCCACACTAAAACGCTCCACGCTAAAATACCTTCTGGAGGCAAGGGGTATCCAAGCCAGCAATAAGACAAAAGCGGCACTTATCACTGAACTGATGGCGGAGTACCGAATGGAAGGCGATTCGGTTCCCGAACAGGGGAATTCGGGAGAAACACTGGAACAAAGGGAGTTCCAGAGGCAGGTACAATTTCGGCTGTCTTTCTATGGGGAACACCCTCAAACAGAGATTATTTCCAAAACGATAACGGAGGTCCAGGAATTTATACTGAGGAGTCAAACAGCGGCCCCAGAACGCAGCTCTGCAGTAAATATGCCACATGAAGGTAAGCCGAAAATACCGTACCAGGCTTTTAAAACATATGTGGAGGCAGAGGAAGATATAGACGCTTTCCTGCAAGATTTCGAGAGACTGTGTGCACTGCATAGAATCAGCGCAGAGGACTGGGTACCTATTTTGGCAGGGAGGTTAACTGGGAGGGCAGCTGAGGCATACCGGACTGTACCGAATGATGAAATACGGAATTACCACAAAGTGAAAGAAATTATATTGGCCAGGTATGCTATAACACCAGAAGCATACCGGCGGAGATTCAGGGATTTAAAGAAGGTGGAGAAAGACTCACATGCTGAGTGGGCATGCAGACTACAACGAGCAGTCTTGGGGTGGGTGCAAGCGAGCAAGGCACGGTCTATGGAGGATGTATTGCAAATGGTACTGCTGGAGCAATTTTATGAAGGAGTAACCAGCGAGGTACAGGAGTGGGTAAGAGACAGAAACCCTACCTCCCTTACCGAAGCAGCCAGGAAGGCAGACGAGTACCTGGATGCACGCAGGCAGCAAAAACCTGCAGCTCCAAAAGTACCTTTTAAAACCTTTGGGGGAAACAACTACACACCAGCTCTACCAAGGTCACTGCCACCACCACCACCACCCGCTGCACAGCCACGTTTCCGCCAGCCCACGTCGGGCCCTTGCCACCACTGCCAGAAGTGGGGACATTATAAATGGGAATGCCCCCAGTTGCGGGACCGTTCCACCTGGATCCGACCCGGTCCACCACCACCACCGAGAGCCGCCGCAGCCCATCACTACCAGGACATTGTGGCCACACCGTATGGTTCAGCAGTTCCCATCACAACCGTAGAGCAGTGGGAGGTACTGCACGAGGCAGATCCCGTCCAGGCTAATGCAGACAACCGCCAGCACCACAGGCAGACCGTGTATCTGGAGGGTAAAGCGGTTCAGGGGCTACGTGACTCAGGAGCCACCATCACCCTGGTAAAAAGTCACCTGGTCTCAGACCAAGCTAAACTTAGTAAGACTGTGGCCGTCAGGGTAGCCGGGGGAGCAGTATACCGGCTACCCACAGCAAGGGTACATTTGCATTGGGGAGCGGGGGCAGGGCATGTGGAGGTGGGGTTGATGCCGCAGTTACCGGCGGAGGTTTTATTGGGGAACGATCTGGGGAGGCTCACATCTGCTTTTGAGCCCCAGACACCCACCACAGGAGAAGCTCACCCTGTGGTCACTCGACAACAGGCCCGCACCCAGGACTACAGCACACTCCCGGAGGTCCAGGTAAGAGATCCTTCCCCTTCCCTTGACTGTGTTCTCTGGGCCCCTCCTAACGAATTTGCAGCTGAGGTAGTGACTGACCCCACCTTGCAGGTGTATAGGGACAAGGTGACAGCAGACACGCCTGGGGGGGAGGGCGAAAGGTTTATTTGGGACAACCAGCTGTTATATCGGGAGACGGATAAGCAGGTATCCGGGTCAGACCCGATTGTGATGAGGCAGTTAGTGGTACCTCAGAGGTACCGTGCGGAGTTACTACGGATAGCTCATGACATTCCGCTATCTGGACATTTAGGGGTCAGCAGGACCCGATACAGGTTAACCCAAAGTTTCTTTTGGCCGGGAATTAGCCAGGAGGTGCGCAGGTATTGCAACACGTGCGATACCTGTCAAAGGGTGGGGAAAAGGGGGGACCGGCGCAAGGCCAAGTTACATCCCTCCCCATAATCGAGGAACCCTTTAGCAGGGTAGCAGTTGACCTAATAGGACCCCTCAACAAAGCAAGCCCGTCAGGTAAAAGATTTATCCTGACCGTAGTAGATTATGCCACTAGATATCCAGAGGCGGTGGGCCTGACGAATATACAGGCTGAGACAGTAGCGGAAGCCCTGATGAAGATATTCTCCCGGGTGGGACTCCCCAGGGAGATTGTCTCCGATCAGGGCACCCAGTTCACCGCCGAAGTCACGCAGCGCCTCTGGAAGTTTTGTGACATTAAGCCGGTCATTAGTTCCCCTTACCACCCCCAGACGAATGGGCTCTGCGAACGTTTCAACGGTACATTGAAACAAATGCTCCGAACCTTCGCAGAGACCCACAAGGACTGGGAGAAGTTCCTGCCACACCTCCTCTTTGCTTACCGGGAGGTGCCGCAGGAATCCACTGGGTTCTCCCCATTTGAACTATTGTTTGGCCGCAGGGTACGAGGGCCTTTAGATTTGATCAGAGAGCATTGGGAGGGAGAACGGAGCACTGACGGTACCCCCATCATACCCTATGTGTTGGCATTCCGAGACCGCCTTGAGGCCTTAACTCAGACGGTACGCGAGAATTTGCAGGCGGCTCAGACACGCCAGCGCACATGGTATGATCGGGGCGCCAGGGACCGTAGCTTTCAGGTCGGGCAGAAGGTGTTAATCTTAAAACCTGTCCGACACGATAAGCTGCAGGCCGCCTGGCAGGGCCCTTATAAGGTGGTGGAACAACGGTGTGACACCACTTATATAATCGGCTCGTGCGTTGGTACTGGGGGGCGACGCATGCTCCATGTGAACATGATGAAGCCCTACCAGGAGCGCTCGGAGGAAGTGACCGCTATATGTGCGCCTAACTCCGAGGAGTTTGACAGTTTACCTCTCCCGGATCTGCTGGGAGAGGGTCAGTTATCCGAGGACTTAGGGGAGGTCACCCTGGGGGATCGGTTGAGCCAACAGGAGCGGAGCGAGGTACAACAGCTGTTGAGGGAGAAGCAGGATATCTTCTCTAATGTACCTGGTTACACCCCTCTGGCCACTCACCGAGTAGACACCCCAGGGCAACTTCCCATGCGTCAGACCCCGTACCGCATCCCAGAAGCGGTACGGGCGAACATGCGCAAGGAGATAGATGAGATGCTCCAGCTGGGGGTGATTGAGCCCTCTGACAGCCCCTGGGCATCTCCGGTAGTACTAGTACCAAAGCGGGACGGCACGACCCGGTTTTGTGTAGACTACCGGAGATTAAATGAGAAGACGGTATCGGACGCCTATCCTATGCCCAGGATAGACGAACTCCTGGATCGGATGGCAAGGGGGCACTATCTCACCACAATTGACTTGTGTAAAGGGTATTGGCAAATACCCTTGGCACAAGACGCCATCCCTAAGTCGGCCTTTGTCACCCCATTCGGCTTGTACCAATTTAAGGTCATGCCGTTTGGGATGAAAAACGCCCCGGCTACTTTTCAGCGGATGGTGGACCGCCTCCTAGATGGGTTCCAGGATTATACCTGCGCATACCTCGACGATATTGCCATCTTCAGCAATACCTGGCAGGAACACCTGACCCATATAGGAGCGGTCCTAGACAGGATTAGGGCCGCTGGTTTAACGCTGAAACCAGCCAAATGCAGCATAGGAATGGCTGAAGTACAGTACCTAGGTCATCGGGTAGGATGCGGCAAGCAAAAGCCGGAACCAGCCAAAGTAGAGGCTGTAGCTCAATGGCCCACCCCTAGGACTAAGACCCAGGTGTTAGCGTTCTTAGGAACGGCCGGATACTACCGGAAATTTGTCCCGAATTACAGTGCCCTGGCCAAACCTCTCACCGACTTGACCCGTAAAAACCTACCCCGCCAAGTAACCTGGACCCCGGAGTGTGAACAGGCATTTCAGTTGTTAAAAGATGCATTGACAAATGCCCCTGTCTTGGCCGCTCCCAATCCAACTAAGCGTTTTCTTGTCCACACAGACGCTTCTATGTTTGGATTGGGAGCAGTATTAAGCCAAGTCGGGGCCGATGGCGGAGAACATCCCGTGGCTTACATCAGCCGGAAACTGTTACCTCGGGAAGTAAGCTACGCCGCCATCGAGAAAGAATGCCTGGCTGTGGTGTGGGCCCTGAAGAAATTACAGCCATATTTGTACGGACAAGCTTTTTCCCTGCTCATGGATCACAACCCGTTAGTATGGCTAAACCGGGTGGCTGGGGACAATGCCCGGCTGCTGCGCTGGAGTCTGGCGCTGCAGCCCTTTGACTTTAATATCCAGTACCGCCCGGGTAAACAGAATGGAAATGCTGATGGGTTGTCTCGACAAACTGACCTAGAGAAATGATCCGTGAGCCTCCCCGGACATCCCCAAGCCGATCCGTGTTGGATCAGACTGTGTATGCCGGCTTGTGGACAAGGGGGAGCAGTGTAGCGGATGGCACCAGGCGACCCTACAAAAATATTGTATAAAGCTGCATCCGTGTATCTGCTGTAATTTCTGTGTATTTAAAAAGAATTGTATTCCTCTGATTGTTCGGTAGTTTCATTCCCTTAGTTTATTCGAATGAAACTACCGAACAACCAGACCTCCCTGTGTGAAGTGTGTCCTCAATTACCCGTTGCAACATTGTTGCGAACGGGTAATTGAACAGTAAGTAGCCGTCCTTTGTTCTCGGGGGTGGCCGCCATTCGACAAACGAACACGTGGCGGCGGCCATTTTAAAACTCCCGAACAGCGGTGTTTTGCCGTCGAGTGTCTGGAACTAAAATCGGACACTCGAGTAGGCGAACACCGCTGAGACCTCCACAGCCCTGGTCCGTTCGGTTCCAAACTACCGAACGGCCCCTCGTTCGGTAAATAGAGAATACCAAACGAGGGGATTCAGGCGAACCCTCCCTAGCCTCTATAGCTAGAGGCTTTCGTGTATTTTATTCCCTTATGCCAGGACCGACCGCAAGGCCCATTCACATGGAACCGAATTGGGCTATCTCTGTTCGTGCGGTCGGTCATTTTATTCCCTCCATACTTTTCCCGAACCCCTGGTCCGATCTGGGTGATTTTTGGATATGTTGTTCACCCAGATCAGGACTACCCGGGGATGTATGATGTAAAGGGGTACCCCTACGTTTAGGGGTACATCCAGAAACGGGGGGAATTGGTGTGCTGGATAAGGGGATTATGATGCTGGCTGAGGGGAGGGGATGTGTGGGAGGTTACCAGGACAGGATTGGCTACTGTAATAATTACTGTAAATTCCTCCCTTGCATGGGAGCATGCTTTATAAGGAGACTGTGATTAAAGGCTTGTCAGTTATGCTCCTGAAACTGTGTGTCGTCCAGTTATTGGGATTGCTGTTGGGATATTGCTGTATTTTACCTGCTGGAAACCCTGCCTTTGGATTTACTATTTACCTGTTCCTGAGTCTCACTTGGATTATAAGCGGAGATAACCTGGGTAATATTGCATCTCCGCTACAGTGATCATCGAACAATCAAGCGTTTCATTCAAAATAGTCAACAGGGTCGCAAGAAGCGTGTGGAAAAACCAAGGCGCAAAATAACTGCCCATGAACTGAGAAAAGTCAAGCGTGCAGCTGCCACGATGCCACTTGCCACCAGTTTGGCCATATTTCAGAGCTGCAACATCACTGAAGTGCCCAAAAGCACAAGGTGTGCAATACTCAGAGACATGGCCAAGGTAAGAAAGGCTGAAAGACGACCACCACTGAACAAGACACACAAGCTGAAACGTCAAGACTGGGCCAAGAAATATCTCAAGACTGATTTTTCTAAGGTTTTATGGACTGATGAAATGAGAGTGAGTCTTGATGGGCCAGATGGATGGGCCCGTGGCTGGATTGGTAAAGGGCAGAGAGCTCCAGTCCGACTCAGACGCCAGCAAGGTGGAGGTGGAGTACTGGTTTGGGCTGGTATCATCAAAGATGAGCTTGTGGGGCCTTTTTCGGGTTGAGGATGGAGTCAAGCTCAACTCCCAGTCCTACTGCCAGTTCCTGGAAGACACCTTCTTCAAGCAGTGGTACAGGAAGAAGTCTGCATCCTTCAAGAAAAACATGATTTTCATGCAGGACAATGCTCCATCACACGCGTCCAAGTACTCCACAGCGTGGCTGGCAAGAAAGGGTATAAAAGAAGGAAATCTAATGACATGGCCTCCTTGTTCACCTGATCTGAACCCCATTGAGAACCTGTGGTCCATCATCAAATGTGAGATTTACAAGGAGGGAAAACAGTACACCTCTCTGAACAGTGTCTGGGAGGCTGTGGTTGCTGCTGCACGCAATGTTGATGGTGAACAGATCAAAACACTGACAGAATCCATGGATGGCAGGCTTTTGAGTGTCCTTGCAAAGAAAGGTGGCTATATTGGTCACTGATTTGTTTTTGTTTTGTTTTTGAATGTCAGAAATGTATATTTGTGAATGTTGAGATGTTATATTGGTTTCACTGGTAATAATAAATAATTGAAATGGGTATATATTTGTTTTTTGTTAAGATGCCTAATAATTATGCACAGTAATAGTCACCTGCACACACAGATATCCCCCTAACATAGCTAAAACTAAAAACAAACTAAAAACTACTTCCAAAAATATTCAGCTTTGATATTAATGAGTTTTTTGGGTTCATTGAGAACATGGTTGTTCAATAATAAAATTAATCCTCAAAAATACAACTTGCCTAATAATTCTGCACTCCCTGTATAAGAACTACTCCAGTAGCACCAATACGGAAATGTTTAGATCACACTCTTTGTTTGCACCATTGGAATAGTCTATCTACTCACCTGTTCTTGTGGCCTGATGTTTGTGGGTAAGACTATTTAAATACAGAATCCAGGAACACGCTAATTCAATATGGAGATGTCTGGAAACCCCAATCTCCGGGCATCTACATCACCACCATGACCACTCCTCAGCTGGTATAAGATTTATGAGTCTGGAACATGTACCTCAACCAACAGGTAAAGGGTGTTGGTACATAAAACTTTGTCAGAGAGAGGCGTTCTGGGTCTATAGGTCAAAAACACTATCGCCACAATGATTAAATAAAGGGTTTTCTTATTCCCTCCTCATATGATACAGGGACTTATTCTGTGACTAGGTGGCTTTTTATTGTAAGCTAGTATGCTATACAACAATTATTGTCTAAACCTTTTTTAACCTTTTTAGTTACTTGCACTTTTTAATTGGTGTCTTTGCTCTCATCTAAAAATGTATAATGATGACTGACTACTTGTGACATTATAGTAGTTCATGTATTCTTCAGTGGTTCTTTATACCACTTTAATTTAGACTTCTACTTATGGTAAACCAATTCAGAGACACATGCCTGGTTGAATATATGAATTATAAACCATGGATCGGACGCACTGAGCATTAGTTATGTGCTTGTTGCTGCAAACCTTACACTTGACTACCAATGGACCTTATAATTTCATTACTTTTAATGTTATCACTGATGTCTCGCTTCATTAGCCATGTGCAACTTTTCTTTTTGATGTGATATTCTTTGGATTACGGTCACACAGTAGTGAGCTTGATTGTAGCATGATTTAAGTCACAGCATTTACTTGTGTAACCAACTGACGATACAATGTAACATTTATTATAGATACTCAACTTACAGCTATACTTATGATTACATGTGGGAGATACCTTCTAATGGGTCAACCCACGTTGGCACTATTCATCCATAATGCAATCACCCATCATGTATTCTTCTTCTGCCTGCCTTATAATTATGACATGGCAGAAATGCCATTTCCTGCAGGACATTTCAAGTAATGGTATTAACCCTTCTTTACAGCTAACTAGGACATAATATAACTCTATTTTCGTTGTGGTATAAACAAGGGTATAAAATATTATGGTAACTGCCCACTATGTATGTTGGTTTGCAGCAATCGCATGTGGGTGGTGCTTGATGATGGGATGCCCCATCCCATTACTATTGAACACACCCACTCTGCGCATGTCACGGAAGCTGCCCACGTCCCACGTTGGGTCGGACCTATGACGCTGCATACTGACGTCTCCTGTGCAGACAGTTCGATATGGGCGAATGGATGCTGCTTTCCTCTAATGGGTAATGTGAACAAATATTGCCTAATTGGACTACAGCCATGCTAGTCACAGGTGGTGACTGCCTATTGGCGGTCTTCCCAACCCCATTGATTATACACCTACCTACTAGGTCTGGCTACACTTCAAGTAAGGGGATTGGATGCGACATCTTTGTGCACCGCCCCCTGACCAGCTGATTCTGTTATGGCTCATTGTTTATATGGTATTCAAACAGACTACTGGATGAGACAGACTACTTTGCCCCTGACGACGGTATTGTACCACACCGAAACGCGCGTCAGGCTCTTTTACTATTTTTAATTATGCACTTATTTTCACGTTAGGTAGCACTTCGCCTTTTCTTTGAGTTATCTCTGCAGGGTCTATGGTATAGGTAGACACTAGCCTAGTGCGGTGCTGAGGTATTAGGGACAGAATATTTTTGTGGGGTATGATGTGTTCCTATTACTGATTTTCTAGCAGTGGAGTAATTCTGCTCTTTGTATACTCATCTCTTTATCTACAATTTTCGCTGGACGAGCAATTTCATTCTTTCTGAGTGATATGTAGTCAATTCTCTTGTGTCCCCATCTACCCTTTGACAGTAACTGTATATTAGCAGGATATCTAACCAGAGTGGAGTTACTTTTGTGCCTTTCATCTGTCCTATAGGGCTAACCTCTACCTGGCATTCAGACACTGTCTTTCCTATTTAGGACCCTAGTTAGATATAGTGGCTCTAAGTTATAGTCTTAATAAAGGTTTTTAATTCAATTTATTTTGGTTTTGCTACTATACTATTTTAGGTTGTACTCTTTCTCATAGTGCCCCTCTTTTGGGAGTGGATGAGTGAACGATAGCTAGTGCCTGCATGTAATGCAAAATAAATTAAAGGGTGGTCATTTAACGATGAGTTTATCAAGCAGGCTTGGGGTTTTCCTCTTCAGTCTACCCACACTGGTACAGGAATGTGCAAATTACACAGTATATCAGAATCAGAAATAGTGAAACTCTCTATACCATTGGTCTCAATTAAAATTACTTGGGGGTCACTGGCCTAGTAATCCTTTCACATGAGGGCAGCTTGTAAAAATCACAAATCACAAAATTGCAAGGAAACGTAAGTAACCACATAGGTAGCCGGTTCCCCTATTTACCACTATAATGTCTTGAAGCATAGAATTTAGCAGGGCTAACCATACAGATATCTTAGCCATAATATTATATAGTTTGTAAGAGTTTCTCTATTTAAAATATATAAATAATTGAGAATTCAATATAAAGACAGAGACCAGCCCATAATTGTACATGGAAATGAATGTAACGACAGGAGGCTGAGTGAGGCCTTGTGAAATTTAGGTAATCGTAACGAGTAAGATTTCAGTACCTGATACTGTATGTCAGGAACAAGGTCGACAATCCGTATTTTTAAACGTAGTAATTTGATGTGCCTAAAATCTTGACATAGTGAGAGAGCTAAGAACAACATGTAAGAGAGAATTAAAAGACGCAGGAGGTTTAATAGAGTGCGAATGCTGAAAAGGGAAAATGAACCCTCTGAATAGGATGTATCAAAGGTAGCCAAGTATAATTTAAACAGATATGTGACCTAGTTAGGTGGCCTATTAAACTGACAGAGTATTGAGAACCTAGCCGAGAGCTTGCTTACAAAATAAAAGAACTGTTAGTCATGACAGAATCAGATAATGACATGGATAAGAAACTCCTGAAGTTTTTTAATGTAGTTTTTAAATTAACCAGAGTGACATAGTGAAAGCAATACTTTAATGTAGTGATTATCAGATATTTTGGCTATGTGGATGGAGCAGGAAGTGGTATAGGTTACTGAATCCCCTAATTGAAAGAGAAATTGTATGAGGATACATGTGAAATACTGACTAGGATTCGAATTAGTGTACAAATAGATTTTTAAACGAAGTGCCTTGTAAACGAATGGATAAAGTGAACCAGTATCTAACGAAAACCGTTGGAAAATACATACAAATGAAATAAGTGAAGGAAATTTTGATTGAGTGAACTGACTACATGGTCGAAGAACAGACCGTTCGTATGCACGAATAGGTATAGCTGATACGAGAAAACTGTATTGGAAGCTTTGTACGAACTTACTGAAAGCCGCCCAAAAATATTTGAATGGATGATTACGTGAACGAGAAAACAAACAAAGATGTGAACACAAAAAAGGAGCCTATCTCTGCGTTTATAGGCTCAAATGTAGGAATAATCGATCGTTATTCCCTATGTGAACTTACGTGTGCGTGCTGGGTCTCGTGTCTGGAAGGCGGGTGGATGCCCAAAGGGTAGCCAGAGTGTTAGGCCAGAGGTCGGAGAAGAGGGACGCTGGAGTTGAAGTTTTGGCGGAAGTGCTGGTTGCTATGGTAACAGGTCAACCAGCGAGATCGACATAGGTGAGTAGGAGCCATGCGTTTAAATATGCAAAAAACTCCTCCCACAAATTCAGGCCTAATGGCCTTCCTATATGTTAACTTAAAAAAACTTTTTTCAGGCAGTAGGGGGACTGCCTGAGAGTTCAGGCAGTCCCTCTGCAGGCAGACCTGCGGACAGCCATTCCGGCCAGTTGATTGCGAGGACCCCACGATTACATTGCCCAGGAAGGCTGGATCATATGGAGGGGGACTGCCTGGGCTCGCAGGCAGTCCCCAGGATCGCGACCGCAGAGGTTTGCGGGGACCTAGTAAGTAGTAAGAATGGCGAAAGGAAAAAAAGGAGTACAGTCCATTTTTTAATCATCATAAACAAAGACAAACAAAATAATAATAAAAAACACACTACCCCAAAAATAAACCCATAAAGAGGAGATAATGAAGCTCAGTAGGCTAGGAAGGGGAGGCCAAATGAAGGCACAATACCTGAGGTTAGATAATCCAATATGGCATATAAGCCACCTATAGAAGAAATATGAATAGCTATATAACCTATATTGGAGACTGGGTAAATCTCCAAGTACCCCTAGTGCCCCAATCAGTTGTAAAGTCCTAGAACTGATAATGTAAATATGCACTGAATAGACATTTAGCTAAACACTCTAGCCCTATTGACGCAGATATAGCAAATCTCTTGGTATAAAATATTGAACAGCTAATTCCAAGTGATTGTCCACACTAAACTTTTGCACATATTATACTAAAAGCTATCCATTATTAATCCTGTGTATAGGAAGGCTACTGAGTAATTAGGAGACAAAGTCCCTTTCTAAAGAGTGCTTAAATCCGGCTTCTATTCCCCATAAATTAAATTAACACCCAAACAGTGCTAAAATAAAAGTGCTGTGAGTTTAAAAAATTATGAGCCTAACGCGTATTGGCGCTTAAACGAGCACCTTTCTCAAAGGCTATCAATGAGGACACTAACCTGAGCATGTATTTGTACCTAAAGCGGCACTGTGCAGAGCTAATCCACGAGACAATGGGCGGCATTACATTTACACGCCCCCAGGTCAGAGTGGTGGTGAGGGCATCATGGTTTGGGGCTGCTTTGCTGCGTCAGGGCCTGGATGGATTGCTATCATCGAAGGAAAAATGAATTTCCAAGTTTATCAAGACATTTTGCAGGAGAACTTAAGGCCATCTGTCTACCAGCTGAAGCTCACTTTTTCTTTTACATCTCAATACAAATACAACAATATAAAACTTGGAAAAACTCACAATATTTAGAGCCTTTCTGAGCTGGCTCTAAACTTTAGAGGCAGATACATCAATCATATGTGGATTTGAGCTTGTAGGTCCCTTGGAAGATATCTGGAGTCTTCCTTCTTATAAAAATCAGGAACCAGGTTGCCAAATGGATAAAAGGGAAATACTTTTATTGAAACAAAATTAAATAAAATAGAGCACAACGCGTTTCGACCTAATGCAATAGGTCTTCCTCAGGTGCATATCATAATGACCTTCTTATATAGTATACCTAATAAATATAATTACATTACAAATATTAACAGCTGTGGATTGATGGTCCATCCTCCTCGCCATATATGGAGTGTTTCTGGCAATTATCTGAGTATATTCGCCTCCTCCAAGATGTCCACCGTGCCATTATTCTCTGTGAAGGTACATCAGACCTTCCAAAGATGGCGTCTTTGCCGTCTCGCTAAAAATAGTCACTTCCGGTTTCGTCCGGCTCCGATCACATGATCCGGCTCTGATCACGTGGTTAGAGAGGGCGTAGACATGTAGTTTATTATATGTCAATCATAGGAACAAAGTCCGTTTCATATCCAAATTATACAAAGATAAGAGAAAAAGGAAATGTGAATAATAACAATATGCAGAAAATAAACTAACAATATTCCATTTGGCAATATAAAATATAACAATATAGCAATAATTATATGTTTAAAAAATATAAAACTAGCAAGTATGCTTATAGTCCTTAAACCAAAGGTAAAAAGAGGGTAGAGGTAGAAGTTAAGTTGTAAAATAAATATAATCCTGTAACAATGAGTATAAAACATATAAAAATAATATATATAAAAATAGTATGTGTGATTATGACCCTTAAACCAAAAGTGAAAAAAGGTGGGATTAAGTTATAAAATTGGACCTATTTCAAAATCAATATTTAGAACTTTGGAGCATAATGTTTGAAGCTCATATATCCAATTTGATTCTTTCTTACTTAAATTAAAAGTACTATTAAAGGAAGTGATGTTAAAATTCTTTTTAGTTACATTCGATAAAAAAAATCTTTTTTTTCTTAGTTACATGGGTGTTTTTTCAGGTATAACAGTTGTCACAATGATGAAAGCCTTTTTGGGTTTTTGACCATTTTGTTAGAAAATAAAGGTTCTTATCCTTTTTCTCTATGTAATTTGAGCTTAAAATCTGCTAAAACAAAATTCCCCCCCCTAAAAATTAAGTTAGGCTTCTCTCCTCTAAAATCATACATTTCATGTTCTTGCTGCAAGATGTGCCAGTTCTTATTCACAATTCTTTTTAATGTACCAACAATACTACAATAGTTAAAAATAAGTGGGATTTGCTTATCCTGATTATTGGTGTGTCTGTGTCTGGTGTAGTCTGCGTGCTTCGGATAGCAACTATGTTGCGCCAAGAGCCAAACTACAAAAGCTCGGTATGACAAGGTGTGATGATCTATACCTTTGATGTACATTTATAATATAAATTAGTATATTAATAATTGTATTCACCACCTGTAAGCGTTCTCATTAATCCACAAATTATTTATACCTGAATCACATTTAAGGCACATACAAAACATTGCATAAAGGAATGTGATGCCTATAAAATACCTATAAAAGTAACCTTATTCTACTTAACTTGCTTCATATATAAGAAGGTTGAAGTCAAAGAGACACTTGCAGTTTACTTTCTTAAGAAGAAACATTTCCAATTCTTCATATAACTCAATCAGAGATCAACATGAAGCATCAAGGCAGCTACTCTTCTTCTGGATCCCTCAGAGTAGGCCACAGCTCTAGAGGCCATTGTTCCTCTGGTAGCATCTCTTCACTTCATCATGGAAGCTCCAATACACTTCACCATAAGAGCTTCAGCTGCTCTAATACTGGTGGTTCCTATAAATCATCCAGCCACCTTGGAGGAAACTCAAAACTATCTATCAGTTCATCTGCTGGTCTTGCACATGGAGGTGGAAGTGGCCATGGTGGCCTTACAAGTCATCTCAAGAGTTCTAACAACCACGCTCATAACCTACTTCGTATTAATGAGAAAGATACAATGAGGGCTCTGAATGAGCGTCTTGCCTCCTATTTAGACAAGGTCCATTCGCTGGAGCAGGAGAATGCTGAGCTGGAAAGGAAGATATGTGAATGGTATGCAAACAATGCCCCAAGCTCACTCCCTGACTCCAGTGAGTACTATAGGACTATTCAGGAGCTACAGAACCAGGTAAACCAAGACATGTATGAGTTTATCTCCAATGTGTTCAGTTGTAGGATGATCTTACCTACAATGCATGTTTTAATGAGTTAAAGTAAACTTGTCCTTCAATAAAACATTACATGATAAAATATATTGTATACACTGCATACATTTCATTCTGATTTGAACTAAACCAATATATATGCCATTAAAGACTTCTTCTAATGTGGTTATCCTACTTACAATGTATGTTTTAATGACTTAATAAACGTACCATTCTGTAAAATAATTCTAGTCCTAAAAACTCATGTAGAATTGACTGTATAATTGAGATACAGAGATGTTCAAAACTGTTTTATATAACTTATATAATAAAAAATGTTATATACACTATATAAATAGTATGATGTTGTTACATTCAAGAATGCAGCATTTCAAATTCTGAACACAGAGCCTTAAAAATCGCATGTGGTTCAGCTTTTCTCACATAGAAAATATAATATCAGTGTGTATAAACAACAGAACATTTTCTCATAACTTTAGTTATAGTCAAATATAGTTCACGGAGACCAAAATATTTAAGCAAAAGAAGTAATATAAATTATTATTAGAGATGAATTGATAATGACTTTGCTTACCAGATTTCTTCGGCGACAATTAACAGTGGAAGGATTGTCCTACAGATAGATAGCGCTCAACAAGCTTCAAATGACTTCAGAAGCAGGTAAGTCTATGAAGTTAAGAGATTTAAAGGAACAAGTGAAGACTTTGCTTTATACAACTATAGTGGCATATAAAAGGTGACTTTGTGTGGCAAAATATAAATATAAACATATATTCATCAAGTATGGTGGTTAGTATTAAATGAATAATTAAAAAACACAATATAAAAAAAATCTAAAAAGGCCTAATTTCTCACAAACAAACCTATTTTTATATTGTTACAGCAAAACATTCAGCATAGAATTGTACATAACTTCAGTTTAATGAAAATTATCTTGAGTCAACGATGAGGTCTACCAGCACTGCAGTAACTGCTTTAGTAATGTTCTTACTACCGTATATACTCGAGTATAAGCCGAGTTTTTCAGCACATTTTTTGTGCTGAAAACCCCCAACTCGGCTTATACTCGAGTCAGTCTGTATTATGGCAATTTACATTAATTTACATTGCCATAATACAGACTGGGGGCTGGCAGAGCTGTTACTTACCTCTCCTGCAGCTCCTGTCAGCTCTCTCCTCCTCCGCGCCGGTCCGGTCAGCACCTCGGTCAGCTCCCAGTGTAAGTCTCGCGAGAGCCGCGGGGTCATAGTGCGGCTCTCGCGAGACTTACAGTGTGAGCTGACAGAAGAGCTGCACGGACCGGCGTGGAGGAGGAGAGAGCTGACAGGAGCTGCAGGAGAGGTAAGTAACAGCTCTGCCATCCCCCCTCCTCCCCCCACTGAACTGCCAATGCCACTGGACCACCAGGGAAGGAGAGCCCCCTCCCTGCCATGTATCAAGCAGGGAGGGGGGACAACAAAATAAATAAATATAATAAAAATAATAATAAAAAAATAATAAAAATAATAATATATAAATAATAAAAATAATAATAAAAAAAATAATAAAAAAAAATATATAAATAATAAAAATAATAATAAAAAATAATATAACAATTTTTTTTAAATAATATCAATTAATAATATATAAATATAAATAATAATAAAAAAATAATTAAAAAAATAATATAACCCCCCAAATTTTTTTTTTTATAAAAATGCCCACCCCCCACCAAAGCTCTGCAACACAAACACACACTGCATCACACACACACACTGCATTCATACACACACACTGCATTCATACACACACTGCATTTATACACACTGCGCACTCATACACACACACTGCACTCATACACACACTGCGCACTCATACACACACACTGCATTCATCATATACACACACTGTAAATAAATATTCAATTAATATAATTTTTTTAGAATCTAATTTTATTTAGAAATTTACCGGTAGCTGCTGCATTTCCCACCCTAGTCTTATACTCGAGTCAATAAGTTTTCCCAGTTTTTTGGTGTAAAATTAGGGGCCTCGGCTTATATTCGGGTCGGCTTATACTCGAGTATATACGGTAAGTTTTCGGTTGAGGAAAGTTAGTGCAGTAGCTGTAAACTTCCTTATGTGTTCTACTAAGGTGTCTGTTATGTTTGATTGTAAGCATTGGTTTTGTCTAGTATGGTTTTAACTGTTAGAAGCCATAACTTCTTTGGTGGATTTTCTTTTGTTGTCTGTGTCTTTGTTTTTCTTAAATGTCCACTTTGTAAAATAGAGTTACGACCATAGGTTAGAAGATAGTGTTGACCTTTATGGTAGACTATTGGCTAATTTAGGATTATCAAGGCATTATAATTTATCCATAACTATTTATCTATATTGTTGCATGCCGTGTAATCACAATACAATATATTGTAAATACCGTTACACAATCCTTTGCTAACTGCACATGGCATTGCCGTAGTTATCATCAAGCTGCGTTTTTGTCATGTTATTCCACACCGGAAAAAATACTTTCAACCAGCGTTAAATTGAAAAGTGATAAAGAGTTGATGCCATGCCTATTCTCAGAATTGATTATATAATATAGTGTGCTCTTTTATTATTATTATTATAAATTTAGGTGTGAGATGGAGATAAACACAAGGAACAATGTGGATGGAGATACTGGTTCTTTGAGAAGAGTCTTACAACAAATTAACAATGAAGTGCAAACCTTATCCGGAGAAGTCCAATGTCTCCAGCAAGAACTTTTCCAGATGAGGAACAACCATTCAGGGGTAAAGTGGAAATATGTCAATGGCCTATTACTATAATTTATTAAAACACTACTGAGAACAAAGATGTATTTGGAATAATTACAGGACTTCAAATGTCAAGTCGTAAGCTAGTAGCCAGGCCTCAAAAGTTTTTTGCCACTGCAGCCTAGAGAATCCTTGGCACTTTTACCATTAGTTACTTTGTACGATGCAGGGCTAAATTATTACTACGATTGTCCAGTTAATTTTTTTCCATTAATTAATAAAAGTTAACAGTTTTGGGGATCTCTTTCTTGCATACATCGTGAGTGTTTGTTTACACATTGAAACCTAAGGGTTATTTATTTCTTTATAAATTACTTTAAAATTTTTCTTTCACGTCTTACCCTAGTTCTTTGTCTTTTTCAAAGGAAGTGGATGGTCTGCGTGCTCAGCTTGGAACCAGAGTCAACGTAGAAATGAATGCTGCTCCATCCATCGACCTGAACAGAGCTCTATCTGAGCTCAGAGAAGAATATGAAAATATGATGGAGAGGAACCTCAGGGAAGTCGAGGGCATGTTCTTGGCAAGGGTAATTCTAACCATAATATCATGGAGCAACTAGCTGACAGTAAACTACAACACTAAAACTATAGACCCATACCAGATTGGTAAGAACAGTATTATATTTTTACATGAAATTTTTTTTTCTTGCAGAGTGCAGAACTGGACCGTGAGATGTCTTTAGGAGCCGTACAATTGCAGTCAGTTAATAATGATATCATTGATTCAAAGCGGTCTTTACAGACCCTGGAGATCGACTTGCAGAGCCAGCTAAGTATGGTATGTAAGCATGAATTAAAATATGTAAACATATATAAAGCAACACCAAGACTATATTCTGCATTTGCTGTTTTAATTGGTTCTAATAATGCTTTATTGACTACAAAGTAACTTGTGTCAGTCTTTAGTTTAAGAAAGTTTACCCTTGGCAATTTTTTTATGTCTCCAAGTTGGAGATTAACAATAGTACAATAATATGATGTAAAAAATAAATCCATGAATAAAGGATCATATACTTATTTAGTTAAGTAATATTGCTGTGTCATCATTGGCAGAAATCAGCTCTAGAGGGCACCTTATCAGAGACGGAGGCAACGTTTGGTTCTCAGCTCTCCCAGTTACAATGCATGATTGATAACATTGAAGGTCAGCTGACACAGATCCGATCTGACCTAGAACAACAGAATCATGAATACCAAGTTCTCATGGACCAGAAGACCCATCTAGAGATGGAAATCAACACCTATAGACATCTGCTGGATGGACATGACATTCAGTGCGTATTAAGATATTTTTGTCAAATTTAGTTGTTAAGTATTCAGATCAAAAAAGGAGAAGAAAAGCGAAATAATGCTGGTTTAAGTGTAGTCATCATTATACAGTCTATGATGGAAACGTTGACAAAACCTGGCAATTGATATATCTTAATATTCATGTATAACACCAATACATGGGGCACTTACCTACATTAATGAGTATACAGTCACAAGTGAGCATAATAAACACTAGAATATTTTAAATTAATTAGCTTATAGAACATAACGTAAATTATAATATTTGTAAGTGAGGTGGGCAGTTAAATGTTTATTTTGAGTTTAATGGCAAGTTTTTTGTACAGACTAAAGGAACCGCGATGGGGGCGAGTTTCGCCCCGTCCTATGCCAATTTATTTATGGGCTACTGGGAACAAGTTACGATCTTTGCTAACCAGTTTTGGATGGGGCGACTCGCCCTCTATCGTAGGTTCATTGACGACATCCTTATTATCTGGAAGGGTAACTGGGGTGAAGTAGAGGACTTTATGACATCCATCAACAATAATCAGTGGGGCCTCTCTTTCACACATAAACAACATAAATCTACTATAGATTTTCTGGATCTCACCCTTATTGGGGTTGAGGGCAAAATTATCACCAAGACCTACCAGAAAAGTGTGGATGTTAATGGGTATCTACATGCCAGAAGTGGGCATCATCCCACGTGGATTCATAATATCCCCTCAGGGCAGTTCACCAGAATCAGACGTAACTGCTCCTTTATGTGTGATTATGAAAAAGAGGCACTATTGCTCTCCCAACGTTTTGTAGAGAAAGCTTATCCCCTGAGGATTATTTTGGATGCCTATTTGAAAGGTCTTAAGTTTGGGAAGGTACCACGGTCAGAGGCTCATAATAAAACTTTACTCATGATGAACTCCCCTATACCATCCTTATATAGAGGACAAGAATATCACTCCAGAGAACACTTTAAGATCCTTGAACTTCTGGGTGGGTCCTGTGGCCATTCTCTGAAAAAAGCAAAATTTAATATCAGCACCAAAGAGGTTGGTACAGGTAAAACACCCATATTCTCCACTACCTTTAATATAGGTTTTGATGAGATTATAGGAATTTTTGACAAATATTGGCCAATATTGATCAGTGACCCTTGGTTGTCATTTTGTATTGCAAAGGTTCCAAGGGTTACCTTTAGAAGGGCCCCTAATTTGAAAAACATTCTAGCTCCTTCGAAGCTATACTGTCGAAATGTAGGACACCAGGTAGTTCGCCAAGAGGTTGCAGTTAACAAGCGTTGTGGTCATGCTAAATGTTTAACTTGTGGATTTATTTGTCATCAACATTCCACATTTAGCTCGTTTAATAGTACTGAGATCTTTTCTGTGCAGTCACCAATCACCTGTAACACTTCTTTTGTGGTTTATCTCCTCATTTGTCCCTGTGGACGGCAATATGTGGGCCAAACTATCAGACCCTTGAAATTTAGGTTTCGAGAACATAGGACAGCCATAATACGGAATGACAGCAGATCCCCGGTGGCCCGTCACTTTGCTATTTTTCATGATAATAATCCTGTTGGTCTTAAACTAATGGGAATAGTACATATTCCCTTCCATCAGGATGAAGCGAAGAGGAAACGTGAATTAATTAAGGCTGAATCAGTGTGGATCTTTAAGTTGAATTCCATGTCACCTAATGGCTTAAACGAGGAATTAGAATTATTTTGATATGTTACAGTGAATTATGTTTTTTATCCTAAAATATATAATCGTAATGTTGTTTTTTGGTGTGTTTTTTTTTTTTTTTTATGTTACACATATTGTTTTTTGTACCTGTTGCCTGACCTAAATATTAGGATTATTTGAATGTTTTTACATCTATTTCCTTTATATTTAAGTTTAATTATATTTTGATAAGATGTGTTATATACATGCAAGTGAATCCAATACTGTTTTTTCTGATTGCCTTATTTGTGGGGTATATATACCGGGTTACTTTACACCGTACTTCCTGTCTTGAAAAAGTCCCGTGGGAGGGACGAAACGCGTAGACGGATGAATCGGATGAACCTACACTTGCTGTGATTGAGGAGTGAGAGCAGGAAGCGCTTTCGTACTTTGGCGGGTTTTTTTTTTTTTTTTTTCATCGGATAAACTCTTTTGGCATTGAAGCTGTAACGAGCTGTGGCGTTGAGTGTGTCCTGTATATATCGCGGTCTTTTTTGAAGATCCCGACCGCGGTATATTTCACATAATTCTGAGGAACCATCTGTGCCACTTGTTGGACTTTACCATCTCTCCAAGTTTTTCATTTTCGCCTCCAGCTCATTTTATTCAGTATTATTATTTTTTCTACACGTTCTGTGTATACACCTCGGTGGGGGGCCCACACCGAGGAAAGGTACTTTTTATATCGATTACAGTATATACTTAGTATAATATGACGTGTTAGAATTGTTATACTTGTATTTGTGTCTAATAGGGATGCTATTCTGACACTTTGTTACTTTTTTACTTAGTGTCTGAGATTATCCTTTTGACCCATTTGTTCACTCTGTATTTTTGTGTGATTATATTTGCCTTTTTTTACGGGATACATTGTTTTTTATCCCATATCAGCAAGTCTAGGTCATCTTTGATCTGGTTTTTTACATTTGATATTCTACTTTTTGGAATAAAATATTGATTTATTGATTTGTTTACATTCTTAATTACCATATGTTTTATGATTAAGGAGCGCACACGCTTTGTTTAACTTTTGAGCTTATACTCATTTTTAGTCGCTGGTGGATGTGTGTAGCTGCTCTTATTTTTATTTTTTGTTTTTTATGTATTGCACCTATATTGTATTTTTTATATTATCTTTATCAGTATACTAGCGCATTTTAGGTGTACGGTCAGGCAACTATTATATTATATTTATTCTTATTTTATTTTGGGTATAACGCCTACATTTAGGTGGTTATTACACTCCTTATATTTGTATTTATTTATATATATTTGTATATTTCGTTTTAGAATGGATTTACATAGTGTTACTAACAGGCTTGATAGGAGAATTAATCTCCTCAAAGATAAAGATTCTGAGGACACAGAAATGGTCCCAGTTATCGAAACTAATATCCATAAATTATTTTTTGAGTTGGAAAAAACCCTCAAGTCTGAAATGAGAGACTGGTGGGACAGTGCCCTCCTGAAAAAATATATTGATAATAAATTTATTCCGAGAGGTTTGAGGTTTGAGAAACAACCATTTTTTAATGATAATACACCTCTAGAACAGGAGTGGCTGGGGGCTTTGGATACCTGTTCTTTTATACTTATGGACATTCTAATTAGATATAGAGAATCCAGGCTTTGTATTACGGAAAAGAGCATTAAAGATTTACAAGAACGGATTGGCTCCGTTCAAGAGCAATCCTCTGTTATTTCCAAGCTAGATGAGGCCACCAATCAGAAACTAATTAGTTTCGAAAAGGAGCTCATTATACGTAAAAAGAAAAAATTTCAGAGGGATAAACTTGATTATCAAAACGGACAAGTTAGGAGCTGGCAACGTATACGCAGCTCCAGATCCACTTATAACCATCCAGTAGGATATAAGGAAGGTAGTCCTACCCGTTCTTATTTATCCCCAAAAGTGGGTTTTAAACAGAAGATTGGGTCATATGCTGATATTGTGAGAAATCCCCGCTATAGAAAAGGATCTCGTTCTATTGTTTATGAGGAGAAAACTGCTCTAAGAAAGAATTCTATGCCGCCCCTACCACGACATAAGAACTATTCACCCAACCCCAATCATATCCCTTTGGGACGCAATTCTCGTCCCAACAAAGCAGAGGAGGTACTAAAGGTTGGGACTGATTTGGTTTGTGGTTTGGGGGCGAGACCTAAAAAGATCAATCAATATAGAAAGCATGTTATAGATCACACAGATGATTTTTTAGAATCGACTCCCCAATTGGAAAAAGACAAAACATTCCCTTTATTCAAACGCCCCCAGAAAAGGAGGGGGGCTTTCGTAGAGGAACGAGGGGAAGGGGAAAACAGTCCCGCCAAAATGAGATGCCTCTAATTAAAGGTTTATTTAACCTGTCAACATATAATCTAAATGCGGGGGAAATCTCTCTTTTGAATAAAGGACTTAAGTATGCTCCCGATAGATTACCAAACATAATCGATTTGTTTAAAGATCTAAACCACTTTATTAGAAAACTTACGGTCATTAGATCTTTTAATCTTAGGGATGCCAAGGGCAGAGAAGTTTGTCCAAAGTCCTTAAATACCCCACAGGATAAAATTATTTTTCATAATCTTGTCGCATTATTAGAAGAACAGGATTCGCAAGGAGAGAAGGACGACCTTATATGTATACTTGAGTCTAATATTTCATCTGGTTTAAAACCCCCCTCGACCTTTTACCCACAGGGAGATAAAGGCCCTTATTTACAAATGTTCTATGAACTAGTCCTGAAAGACCTGAAAATTCTATGTGTTGATTACAAAAAGAAAAAAGATCGAGTGTGTATTAATTTGGAGGCATCTGAGAGAGCAGCTATTACTAGCCTAAAGAATAATCATAATCTTATTATTAAAGGGGCAGATAAGGGAGGGGGTATTGTCCTGTTGGATAGAGTGGATTACTTACAGGAAGCTGAGCGAATTTTGGGGAATCCAGAGTATTATGAGATTTTAGAGTCAGACCCTACTACATGTTTCAGAAGGGAACTGAGAGACCTTATTGAATCAGCATTTCTTAATGAAGCCATTGATAAGAAAGAGAGGAATTTTTTCCTCTCAGCTCAAGGAGAGATCCCCATTTTCTATTACCTTCCCAAGGTGCACAAATCGCTTGAAAAACCACCGGGTCGCCCTATTATATCAGGGCTAGGGTCTCTAATCGCACCGATTTCTAAGTGGGTCGATTTCCATCTACAACGTTTTGTTCCACATCTACCGTCCTTCTTGAAGGATACTGGACATGTGTTGTCCATTGTTAAAGAGTTAGAGTGGAAGGAACACTACTGTTGGCTCACGATTGATGTGGCAGCTCTATATTCTAATATAGACCATGCCCTGGGTTTAAAAGCTCTGACCTGGTATTTGAATTCCGATCCCCTCCTTCCAGCTCAACAGTCTGAATTTGTCATCAGGTTCACCGAATTTATGCTGAAACATAATTATTTTGAGTTTAATGGCAAGTTTTTTGTACAGACTAAAGGAACCGCGATGGGGGCGAGTTTCGCCCCGTCCTATGCCAATTTATTTATGGGCTACTGGGAACAAGTTACGATCTTTGCTAACCAGTTTTGGATGGGGCGACTCGCCCTCTATCGTAGGTTCATTGACGACATCCTTATTATCTGGAAGGGTAATTGGGGTGAAGTAGAGGACTTTATGACATCCATCAACAATAATCAGTGGGGCCTCTCTTTCACACATAAACAACATAAATCTACTATAGATTTTCTGGATCTCACCCTTATTGGGGTTGAGGGCAAAATTATCACCAAGACCTACCAGAAAAGTGTGGATGTTAATGGGTATCTACATGCCAGAAGTGGGCATCATCCCACGTGGATTCATAATATCCCCTCAGGGCAGTTCACCAGAATCAGACGTAACTGCTCCTTTATGTGTGATTATGAAAAAGAGGCACTATTGCTCTCCCAACGTTTTGTAGAGAAAGCTTATCCCCTGAGGATTATTTTGGATGCCTATTTGAAAGGTCTTAAGTTTGGGAAGGTACCACGGTCAGAGGCTCATAATAAAACTTTACTCATGATGAACTCCCCTATACCATCCTTATATAGAGGACAAGAATATCACTCCAGAGAACACTTTAAGATCCTTGAACTTCTGGGTGGGTCCTGTGGCCATTCTCTGAAAAAAGCAAAATTTAATATCAGCACCAAAGAGGTTGGTACAGGTAAAACACCCATATTCTCCACTACCTTTAATATAGGTTTTGATGAGATTATAGGAATTTTTGACAAATATTGGCCAATATTGATCAGTGACCCTTGGTTGTCATTTTGTATTGCAAAGGTTCCAAGGGTTACCTTTAGAAGGGCCCCTAATTTGAAAAACATTCTAGCTCCTTCGAAGCTATACTGTCGAAATGTAGGACACCAGGTAGTTCGCCAAGAGGTTGCAGTTAACAAGCGTTGTGGTCATGCTAAATGTTTAACTTGTGGATTTATTTGTCATCAACATTCCACATTTAGCTCGTTTAATAGTACTGAGATCTTTTCTGTGCAGTCACCAATCACCTGTAACACTTCTTTTGTGGTTTATCTCCTCATTTGTCCCTGTGGACGGCAATATGTGGGCCAAACTATCAGACCCTTGAAATGTAGGTTTCGAGAACATAGGACAGCCATAATACGGAATGACAGCAGATCCCCGGTGGCCCGTCACTTTGCTATTTTTCATGATAATAATCCTGTTGGTCTTAAACTAATGGGAATAGTACATATTCCCTTCCATCAGGATGAAGCGAAGAGGAAACGTGAATTAATTAAGGCTGAATCAGTGTGGATCTTTAAGTTGAATTCCATGTCACCTAATGGCTTAAACGAGGAATTAGAATTATTTTGATATGTTACAGTGAATTATGTTTTTTATCCTAAAATATATAATCGTAATGTTGTTTTTTGGTGTGTTTTTTTTTTTTTTTTATGTTACACATATTGTTTTTTGTACCTGTTGCCTGACCTAAATATTAGGATTATTTGAATGTTTTTACATCTATTTCCTTTATATTTAAGTTTAATTATATTTTGATATGATGTGTTATATACATGCAAGTGAATCCAATACTGTTTTTTCTGATTGCCTTATTTGTGGGGTATATATACCGGGTTACTTTACACCGTACTTCCTGTCTTGAAAAAGTCCCGTGGGAGGGACGAAACGCGTAGACGGATGAATCGGATGAACCTACACTTGCTGTGATTGAGGAGTGAGAGCAGGAAGCGCTTTCGTACTTTGGCGGGTTTTTTTTTTTTTTTTTTCATCGGATAAACTCTTTTGGCATTGAAGCTGTAACGAGCTGTGGCGTTGAGTGTGTCCTGTATATATCGCGGTCTTTTTTGAAGATCCCGACCGCGGTATATTTCACATAATTCTGAGGAACCATCTGTGCCACTTGTTGGACTTTACCATCTCTCCAAGTTTTTCATTTTCGCCTCCAGCTCATTTTATTCAGTATTATTATTTTTTCTACACGTTCTGTGTATACACCTCGGTGGGGGGCCCACACCGAGGAAAGGTACTTTTTATATCGATTACAGTATATACTTAGTATAATATGACGTGTTAGAATTGTTATACTTGTATTTGTGTCTAATAGGGATGCTATTCTGACACTTTGTTACTTTTTTACTTAGTGTCTGAGATTATCCTTTTGACCCATTTGTTCACTCTGTATTTTTGTGTGATTATATTTGCCTTTTTTTACGGGATACATTGTTTTTTATCCCATATCAGCAAGTCTAGGTCATCTTTGATCTGGTTTTTTACATTTGATATTCTACTTTTTGGAATAAAATATTGATTTATTGATTTGTTTACATTCTTAATTACCATATGTTTTATGATTAAGGAGCGCACACGCTTTGTTTAACTTTTGAGCTTATACTCATTTTTAGTCGCTGGTGGATGTGTGTAGCTGCTCTTATTTTTATTTTTTGTTTTTTATGTATTGCACCTATATTGTATTTTTTAAGTTAAATGTTTATATTAATTGAATAGATGAGATAGGTGACTGAGGGAGACAACTAAGGAGGAGATAATTATTGGTCGTAAATAAATTACAAAATGGGGTTTCACAGAAGGTATATTTGCATAGATGGGTTTTGGGGTACATAAAATTATAAATGAGGTGGCTGATTAGATAGTTTGTTTTAATATTAGGGTTTAGAAGGAAGAAGATGTGCAACTAGGAAGAATCCAGGAAGTTGGTGGTAAGGATGTAAATAAAGCAGAGATGATGAGCGTAGTTTACATAGTAGATTAATAAGAAGACGAAGGGAAGTGCAACATACTAATCAGAAGTTGCCAAAACATAGATCCCCATCTGTTACATAACCACAGATCACATGTTGCTTTACTAATTGTAGGGTTGACAGTGCATCATTGAGATTATATGTCCGCAAAACCTTTTTTAGAGGGATTTTTTTTTAATAGTTAAAGCATTATTAATTAGTTTATTAGTAATCCTGAATGCATATTACGAAGTATGAAGTACTAAGTACCGAAGAATGTTGATGTTAAGGCAATATAATATGTGCTGCTCTATATTACAGTTAATTTCACCTAAGGTAATTGTGTATTTTTGATAAAAAAATATAATACACACCTCTCTCATATCAGTTCTTCTAAACATTTCTAAATCTTTTCACAGTATTGCCGATCATACCAGTTCTGGAGGTGAGTAATATACATCACAATAAAAAAAATACATTTACAACGAAAATGCTTAGCTATGTATTGCAATGATATTTGATATTTCTAAACCTTGCTTATTGATCCAACTGTTATACAGTATAAAGGGAATCAACACAGTAAAGGAGGAGACTATATTTAAAAGAAGAAAAACTACCACAACAAGAGGACATAGTCTTAAATTAGAGGGACAAAGGTTTAAAAAGAATATCCGGAAGTATTACTTTACTGAGAGGATAGTGGATACATGGAATAGCCTTCCAGCTGAAGTGGTAGAGGTTAACACAGTAAAGGAGTTTAAGCATGCGTGGGATAGGTATAAGGCTATCTTAACTATAAGATAAGGCTAGGGACTAATGAAAGTATTTAGAAAATTGGGCAGACTAGATGGGCAGAATGGTTCTTATCTGCCGTCACATTCTATGTTTCTATGTTTCTATTACTTTCTTAGGATTTAATCAACCCAAAAATAAAAGATGTAATAAAGTCTGTGTGCCCATCTAATTTTTCCACGTCTGCTCTGTTCTAGCATCCCATCACAACAAGTGCAAGTAATGGCCGTGTGCTTCTCAATAAGCTCTTGATGCCTCTCTAGAAAAAGAATAACATGAATTGAAATCATTATGAAATCAACTTCTCTGGAATTAGCAATCTGCCTTTATTGTCTTTCTTTAATTCCCTTTCCATTCCTAAACTGATACTGATTAAATGCAAGTGAAAATCCAACACAAAATATATTAGCTATGTGTACAAGTAAAACTGATATTGTTCTGAATTATTGGACACTGTTTGTGTCATATTGTTCCTGAAAAAAATAGAACTCATCTACAGCTTGTATATCAATACAATATTTACAATGACTTTATGCAGCTTTATCGAAGGATGGTGTTGAGTGGTTTGCCTGGCAAATATTATATGAAAGAACATTTGAATTTCCAAGTACTGAAAGCATTTTATAACTGTTTCACGAAATTATAATTCTAAGACAATGTTGTCGGCTGTATATTTTTTTGTAAACTAGTATTTTACTAATATTGTAAAGCGCTGCGGATTACGTGGGCGCTATATAAATGCCAAATATAATAATGAAATAATAATAATATATTTATCGTTTGGATTTATGTTTTGTGGGAACTTTTGGACTGTATTGTAATTACAACTTTATTGTAACTGAATCTACAATTCTTTTAAAATAAATAATTTTTCTTTGTCTTCTGCAAACCCGGTGGTGTATTTGTATTTTGTATTACGAAAGCTAAAAGCTGTTGGATTCTCAGCTTTTCAAATATTTTAGAATTGAATTGCCTGAATTTAGCTAGTAATATTTGTTTTCACTACTGTTTGGAGTTGAATGAATAAACCCCTAAAACCCACACACATTATTGCACTGCTGGAAGAATAAAACACAAACTATAGTCAGTTTCTGAAAATATATTTACTGTGCTAAGAATTACAATTAAGACAGATCAACTTTAAATGTTAAGAATATTTATTGTGTACAAAACAAACAAATAAACAACAACAAAAAACAAATCTACCTCCACTACAGGCAATGTAGACTGTGAAATGTACAACATCTTGGAAACATTGTAAAAAAGAGTTTATTGGTTTGATATTTTTGAGAACGGCTAACGTAGGTATTCACAAAAGTCAGAATTCAAAGTGAATTTAGAATTTTAGGCTAAAATCCCCCCAACTGGACGCTTGCTGTGAATCCAGTTTGGTTACTTTGGCCTAACATTTGAAATCCATTCACTTTGAATTCTCACATTTGGGAATAACCCTGTAAGAGTAACTAAATAACGTAGGAATTCATGAATTGCAGATATACAAACAAAGCATATTTTAATTTTGTAAGCATCAGTTTATCGGGTATCGATTTGGTTAAATGTGACAACATTCTCTAAAATATCATTTTAATTCTAAGAAAAAAAAAAGTCTGTTTATATTACCAATATATAAAATTGATTTGTGATGATAAATATAAAAATATATTAAAAAAATATATATAATTTGAGAACGACATACTTGGTTTGTATAGTTATATTTATGTGTTTTAGTGTCGCATGGGAGAGCAGCACATTGTTTTGGTCTCTGCTGTGGCTCACCTAATAGAAATAGGTGGAGACCTATCATCAAGCCCCTACTTCAGGGATAGGAACCCTTCGACATTCCATATGACGTGCACTACATCTCCCGTAATACTCCTACAGCCATGATGCTGGCAAAGCACCAGGGGGATGTAGTCCGCAACATCTGAAGTGCTGAAGGATGTCTATCCCTACTTAGTATCTTAGGGTCACAGGTGACCTAAAAATTTTATTCCTTTATTATGTTTTCTTAATAAAGGGACAAATGTCTTTGTCAGTGTGATGAAGCCACATGGCTCTCTCTAATTTCTCTAACAGCTTACAGCAAATATATGTACTGACAACATGGAAAATAAGTCAGTCACACATTGGACTGCATGAATGAACGATGGTAACTGAAAAGAATATTATTGCCAACTTCTAATCAATGAAAACAACAAAAATCCAAAGGAAGCATCATATGTTGCATGGGCACCTTTGATGCATTTTGGGAAATGATAATGGGTATCTTCAAAACGTTTTGGCCCATACTAGTGTTATGGGCAAATGCAAATATTACAAGTTTTAGAATGAAATGTTGTATTTCTTAAACTGTGTACTTTGTTTTTAAGAGATATTGCAAACTGACAAGGTGTTAGAAATGGAACATATTGTTTTTCATAGATGTTTCTTTAAACAATAACCTCTTACCTACCTACAGTGCATAATATGTTTGCGCCATTTTGTCCCAGACTAATTAAAAAAACAATAATGCATAAGCAAGCTTCAAGTCTATGCTACGACTCTTTCAGTATGCAATATACTGTGGTAACCTTAGTAGATAAGGATGTTCAGACATTAAGATGGCATCTTGAACTAAGTCAGGAAAATTTCCATCACATATGCACCCTTTAGATATGGCCTTGTATGTTTGCCAAATTAAGGGAGGTCCTAAAATGAATAAAGTAAAAGAAGTGTTACTTTTTCATATATGAACTACGGTAACCCTAAAACGGAGACACCTAAGGTATAAATAGGTGTACTTTTAAATGTTAAGGAACAGAGGAGAGACTTGGATACAGACGCAGCTCCATCTTAAAATGACAGAGAGGCTGGCATGATGACATGTTCAGAAGGGTATGAAGGGTATGTTAACCTATTAATGATATTTGCAAGCATTTAGTTTAATCTTATAAACTCTGCTATAATGGATTTTATATGTCTATATTTATATTTTTATATAATAAATACCAAAACAATCCTTATTTTATATAGTATTCTCAATTATTTATATATGTTAAATATTCATGTGTTCCTCGTGAAAAAAAAAATATATATTTTTTTTTTATTCATTTGGCTGTCAACTTTCAAGTTCCTTATTCTTGTGCTGCAAGTGAAGAACTATTTATTTCAGCCACTTTTTATTTGTTTTATTGTTGTCCATCTGTCACTATCTCAACAAATATATAATCCCTTTGATCAGTTCATTCAAATCTGAGTCTGGTGTAGTCTGCGTGCATCGGATATCAACTAAGTTGCTCCAAGAGCCAAACTACAAAAGCTCGGTATGACAAGGTGTGATGATCTATACCTTTGATGTACATTTATAATATAAATTAGTATATTAATAATTGTATTCACCACCTGTAAGCGTTCTCATTAATCCACAAATTATTTATACCTGAATCACATTTAAGGCAGATATAAAATATTGCATAAAGGAATGTGATGCCTATAAAATACCTATAAAAGTAACCTTTTTCTACTTAACTTGCTTCATATATAAGAAGGTTGAAGTCAAAGAGACACTTGCAGTTTACTTTCTTAAGAAGAAACATTTCCAATTCTTTGTTTAACTCAATCAGAGATCAACATGAAGCATCAAGGCAGCTACTCTTATTCTGGATCCCTCATGGTAGGCCACAGCTCTAGAGGCCATTGTTCCTCTGGTAGCATCTCTTCACTTCATCATGGAAGCTCCAATACACTTCACCATAAGAGCTTCAGCTGCTCTAATACTGGTGGTTCCTATAAATCATCCAGCCACCTTGGAGGAAACTCAAAACTATCTATCAGTTCATCTGCTGGTCTTGCACATGGAGGTGGAAGTGGCCATGGTGGCCTTACAAGTCATCTCAAGAGTTCTAACAACCACGCTCATAACCTACTTCGTATTAATGAGAAAGATACAATGAGGGCTCTGAATGAGCGTCTTGCCTCCTATTTAGACAAGGTCCAGTCGTTGGAGCAGGAGAATGCTGAGCTGGAAAGGAAGATATGTGAATGGTATGCAAACAATGCCCCAAGCTCACTCCCTGACTCCAGTGAGTACTATAGGACTATTCAGGAGCTACAGAACCAGGTAAACCAAGACATGTATGAGTTTATCTCCAATGTGGTCAGTTGTAGGATGATCTTACCTACAATGCATGTTTTAATGAGTTAAAGTAAACTTGTCCTTCAATAAAACATTACATGAGAAAATATATTGTATACACTGCATACATTTCATTCTGATTTGAACTAAACCAATATATATGCCATTAAAGATTTCTTCTAATGTGGTTATCCTACTTACAATGTATGTTTTAATGACTTAATAAACGTACCATTCTGTAAAATAATTCTAGTCCTAAAATCTCATGTAGAATGACTGTATAATTGAGATACAGAGATTTTCAAAACTGTTTTATATAACTTATATAATAAAAAAATTTATATACACTATATAAATAGTATGATGTTGTTACATTCAAGAATGCAGCATTTCAAATTCTGAACACAGAGCCTTAAAAATCGCATGTGGTTCAGCTTTTCTCACATAGAAAATATAATATCAGTGTGTATAAACAACAGAACATTTTCTCATAACTTTAGTTATAGTCAAATATAGTTCACGGAGACCAAAATATTTAAGCAAAAGAAGTAATATAAATTATTTTTCGAGATTAATTGAGAATTACTTTGCTTACCAGATTTCTTCGGCGACAATTAACAGTGGAAGGATTGTCCTACAGATAGATAGCGCTCAACAAGCTTCAGATGACTTCAGAAGCAGGTAAGTCTATGAAGTTATGAGATTTAAAGAGACAAGTGAAGACTTTGCTTTATACAGCTGTAGCAGCATATATATTGTAAAGGTGACTTTGTGTGGCAAAATATAAATATAAACATATATTCATCAAGTATGGTGTTTAGTATTAAATGGATAATTAAAAAACACAATATTAAAATAAATCTAAAAAGCTCTAATTTCTCACAAACAAACCTATTTTTATATTGTTACAGCAAAACATTCAGCATAGAATTGTACATAACTTTAGTTTAATGTAAATTCTCTCAAGTCAACGATGAGGTCTACCAGCACTTAAGTAACTGCTTTAGTAATGTTCTTACTAAGTTTTCAGTTGAGGAAAGTTAGTGCAGTAGCTGTACACTTTCTTATGTGTTCTATTAAGGTGTCTATTATGTTTGATTGTAAGCATTAGTTTTGTCTAGTATTGTTTTAACTGTTAGAAACCATAACTTCTTTGGTGGATTTTCTTTTGTTGTCTGTGTCTTTGTTTTTCTAAAATGTCCACTTTGTAAAATAGAGTTACGACCATAGGTTAGAAGATAGTGTTGACCTTTATGGTAAACTATTGGCTAATTTAGGATTATCAAGGCATTATAATTTATCCATAACTATTTCTCTATATTGTTGCATGCCGTGTAATCACAGTACAATATATTGTAAATACCTTTACCCAATCCTTTGCTAACTGCACATGGCATTGCCGTAGTAATCATCAAGCTGCGTTTTTGGCATGTTATTCCATACCGGAAAAAATACTTTCAACCAGCGTTAAATTGAAAAGTGATAAAGAGTTGATGCCATGCCTATTCTCAAAACTGATTATATAATATAGTGTGCTCTTTTATTATTATTATCAATTTAGGTGTGAGATGGAGATAAACACAAGGAACAATGTGGATGGAGATACTGGTTCTTCGAGAAGAGTCTTACAACAAATTAACAACGAAGTGCAAACCTTATCCGGAGAAGTCCAAGGTCTCCAGCAAGAACTTTTCCAGATGAGGAACAACCATTCAGGGGTAAAGTGGAAAGATGTCAATGGCCTATTATTATAATTTATTAAAACACTACTGAGAACAAAGATGTATTTGGAATAATTACAGGACTTCAAATGTCAAGTCATAAGCTACTAGCCAGGCCTCAAAAGTTTTTTGCCACTGTAGCCTAGAGAATCCTTGGCACTTTTACCAGTGGTAACTTTGTACGATGCAGGGCTAAATTTTTACTACGAATGTCCAGTTAATTTTTTTCCATTAATTAATAAAAGTGAACAGTTTTGGGGATCTCTTTCTTACATACATTGTGTGTGTTTGTTTACACATTCAAACCTAAGGGTCATTTATTTCTTTATAAATTACTTTAAAATCTTTCTTTCACGTCTTACCCTAGTCCTTTGTCTTTTTCAAAGGAAGTGGATGGTCTGCGTGCTCAACTTGGAACCAGAGTCAACGTAGAAATGAATGCTGCGCCATCCATCGACCTGAACAGAGCTCTATCTGAGCTCAGAGAAGAATATGAAAATATGATGGAGAGGAACCTCAGGGAAGTCGAGGGCATGTTCTTGGCAAGGGTAATTTTAACCATAATATCATGGAGCAACTAGCTGACAGTAAACTACAACACTAAAACTATAGACCCATACCAGATTGGTAAGAACAGTATTATATTTTTACGTGAAATGTTTTTTTCTTGCAGAGTGCAGAACTGGACCGTGAGATGTCTTTAGGAGCTGTACAATTGCAGTCAGTTAATAATGATATCATTGATTCAAAGCGGTCTTTACAGACCCTGGAGATCGAGCTGCAGAGCCACCTAAGTATGGTATGTCAGCATGAATTAAAATATGTAAACATATATAAAGCAACACCATGACTATATTCCGCATTTGCAGTTTTAATTGGTTCTAATAATGCTTTATTGACTACAAAGTAACTTGTGTAAGTCTTTAGTTTAAGAAAGTTTACCATTGGCAATTTTTTATGTCACCAAGTTGTGCCAGTAATAGTAACTGCACTTGTGTCTTTTACATGATGTGCATTTTATATAAGTAATAATTGTGGAGATAAAATAAAATCCTTTTATAATATGATATTTAACAAGTCCTGCTATTTTTGGAGGTTGACTACATACAGTTTGGTTTAATTGTGTTTTCGATGATGACCTTCTAGTTTATGCTGAATGCTTTCCCGAGAAATGTTACCATTGCTGTAGAGCAAATTATATCTCATTCATATATAAAAGATTAAAGGCATGTTGCATGTTAACTCTCAATTTTAAGAGTTACTTAATGTCTTTGCACTGAATCTCCCAAAATTTCTGGGTGAGCATTTTATTAGACAACGCAAAAATGTATCAATGTGTAGTGGTGATACTCGTCAACCTTTACTTTCAACATTTGTGATCTATTGTGAGTGCACTACAATATATCCAACCATTGACACACAACACAAAGAAGCAAAGCCAGCTATTTTAACTAATATCATCATGATGGAATATGGGAATGTTTCGAACTTTTAAATATATTAAACAATAGTACAATAATATGATGTAAAAAATAAATCCCTGAATAAAGGATCATATACTTATTTAGTTAAGTAATATTGCTGTGTCATCATTGGCAGAAATCAGCTCTAGAGGGCACCTTATCAGAGACGGAGGCAACGTTTGGTTCTCAGATCTCCCAGTTACAATGCATGATTGATAACATTGAAGGTCAGCTGACACAGATCCGATCTGACCTAGAACAACAGAATCATGAATACCAAGTTCTCATGGACCAGAAGACCCATCTAGAGATGGAAATCAACACCTATAGACATCTGCTGGATGGACATGACATTCAGTGCGTATTACAATTTTTTGTCAAATTTAGTTGTTAAGTATTCAGATCAAAAAAGGAGAAGAAAAACGAAATAATGCTGGTTTAAGTGTAGTCATCATGCTGGAAAAGTTGACAAAACCTGGCTATTGATATATCTTCATATTCATGTATAACACCAATACATGGGCACTTACCTACATTAATGAGTATACAGTCACAAGTGAGCTTAATAAACACTATAATATTTTAGCTTATAGAACATAATGTAAAATATAATATTTGTAACTGAGGTGGGCAGTTAAATGTTTGTATTAATTGAACAGATGAGATAGGTGACTGAGAGAGACAACTAAGGAGGAGATAATTATTAGTCGTAAAGAAATTATAAAATGGGGTTTCACAGAATGTATATGTGCATAGATGGGTTTTGGGGTACATAAAATTATAAATGAGGTGGATGATTAGATAGTTTGTTTTAATATTAGGGTTTAAAAGGAAGAAGATGTGCAACTAGGAAGAATCCAGGAAGTTGGTGGTAAGGATGTAAATAAAGCAGAGATGATGAGCGTAGTTTACATAGTAGATTAATAAGAAGACGAAGGGAAGTGCAACATACTAATCAGAAGTGGCCAAAACATAGATCCCCACCTGTTACATAACCACAGATCACATGTTGCTTTACTAATTGTAAGGTTGACAGTGCATCATTGGGATTATATGTCCGCAATAGCTGGGCATCCAGTTTCTGGATGCACCTTTTTTAGAGGGATTTTTTTTTACTAGTTAAAGCATTATTAATTAGTTTATTAGTAATCCTGAATGCATATTACGAAGTATGAAGTACTAAGTACCGAAACATTTTGATGTTAAGGCAATGAAATATGTGCTGCTCTATATTACAGTTAATTTCACCTAAGGTAATTGTGTATTTTTGATAACAAATATAATACACACCTCTCTCATATCAGTTCTTCTAAACATCTCTAAATCTTTTCACAGTATTGCCAATCATACCAGTTCTGGAGGTGAGTAATATACATCACAATAAAAAAATTACATTTGCAAGGAAAATGCTTAGCTATGTATTGCAATGATATTTGATATTCCTAAATCTTGCTTATTGATCCAACTGTTATACAGTATAAAGGGAATCAACACAGTAAAGGAGGAGACTATATTTAAAAGAAGAAAAACTACCACAACAAGAGGACATAGTCTTAAATTAGAGGGACAAAGGTTTAAAATAATATCAGGAAGTATTACTTTACTGAGAGGGTAGTGGATGCATGGAATAGCCTTCCAGCTGAAGTGGTAGAGGTTAACACAGTAAAGGAGTTTAAGCATGTGTGGGATAGGCATAAGGCTATCCTAACTATAAGATAAGGCCAGGGACTAATGAAAGTATTTAGAAAATTGGGAAGACTAGATGGGCCGAATGGTTCTTATCTGCCGTCACATTCTATGTTTCTATTACTTTCTTAAGATTGAATCAACCCAAAAATAAAAGATGTAATAAAGTCTGTGTGCCCATCTAATTTTTCCACGTCTGCTCTGTTCTAGCATCCCATCACAACAAGTGCAAGTAATGGCCGTGTGCTTCTCAATAAGCTCTTGATGCCTCTCTAGAAAAAGAATAACATGAATTGAAATCATTATGAAATCAACTTCTCTGGAATTAGCAATCTGCCTTTATTGTCTTTCTTTAATTCCCTTTCCATTCCTAAACTGATACTGATTAAATGCAAGTGAAAATCCAACACAAAATATATTAGCTATGTGTACAAGTGAAACTGATATTGTTCTGAATTATTGGACACTGTGTCATATTGTTCCTGTTAAAAATAGAACTCATCTACAGCTTGTATATCAATACAATATTTACAATGACTTTATGCAGCTTTATCGAAGAATGTGTTGAGTGGTTTGCCTGGCAAATATTATATGAAAGAACATTTGAATTTCCAAGTACTGAAAGCATTTTATAACTGTTTCACGAAATTATAATTCTAAGACAATGTTGATCTGCTGCATATTTTTTGTAAACTAGTATTTTACTAATATTGTAAAACACCGCGGATTACGTGGGCGCTACATAAATGCCAAAAATAATAATGAAATAATAATAATAATATATTTATCGTTTGGATTTAAGTTTTGTGGGAACTTTTGGACTGTATTGTAATTACAACTTTATTGTAACTGAATCTAATCTACAATTCTTTTAAAATAAATCATTTTTCTTTGTCTTCTGCAAACCCGGTGGTGTATTTGTATTTTGTATTACGAAAGCTAATGTTGGATTCTCAGCTTTTCAAATATTTTAGAATTGAATTGCCTGAATTTAGCTAGTAATATTTGTTTTCACTACTGTTTGGAGTTGAATGAATAAACCCCTAAAACCCACACACATTATTGCACTGCTGGAACAATAAAACTCAAACTATAGTCAGTTTCTGAAAATATATTTACTGTGCTAAGAATTACAATTAAGACAGATCAACTTTAAATGTTAAGGATATTTAAAAAGAGTTTATTGGTTTGATATTTTTGAGAACGGCTAATGTAGGTATTCACAAAAGTCAGAATTCAAAGTGAATTTAGAATTTAAGGCTAAAATCCCCCCAACTGGACGCTTGCTGTGAATCCAGTTTGGTTACTTTGGCCTAACATTTGAAATCCATTCACTTTGAATTCTCACATTTGGGAATAACCCTGTAAGAGTAACTAAATAACGTAGGAATTCATGAATTGCAGATATACAAACAAAGCATATTTTAATTTTGTAAGCATCAGTTTATCGGGTATCGATTTGGTTAAATGTGACAACATTCTCTCAAATATCATTTTAATTCTAAGAAAAAAAAAAGTCTGTTTATATTACCAATATATAAAATTCATCTGTGATGATAAATATAAAAATATATTAAAAAAATATATATAATTTGAGAACGACATACTTGGTTTGTATAGTTATATTTATGTGTTTTAGTGTTGAATGGGAGAGCAGCACATTGTTTTGGTCTCTGCTGTGGCTCACCTAATAGAAATAGGTGGAGACCTATCATCAAGCCCCTACTTCAGGGATAGGAACCCTTCGACATTCCATATGACGTGCACTACATCTCTCGTAATGCTCCTACAGCCATGATACTGGCAAAGCATCAGGGGGATGTAGTCCGCAACATCTGAAGTGCTGAAGGATGTCTATCCCTACTTAGTATCTTAGGGTCACAGGTGACCTAAAATTTGTATTCCTTTATTATGTTTTCTTAATAAAGGGACAAATGTCTTTGTCAGTGTAATGAAGCCACATGGCTCTCTCTAATTGCTCTAACACAGGGGTTCTCAACCTTGCCCTCAAGGACCCCCTACCAGTCCAGGTTTTAGGGATTACATGGGTGTGTCTAAGGTGTTTAGAAAAAGAAAAAAAAAACACCATAGAGTCTAAGGTTTTTTTTTTCTTCCCTTTTTCTAAACACCTTAGACACACCCAGGTAATCCCCAAATCCTGGACTGGTAGGGGGTCCTGAGGACTGGGTTGAGAACCCCTGCTCTAACAGCTTACAGCAAATATATGTACTGACAACATGGAAAATAAGTCAGTCACACATTGGACTGCATGAATGAATGATGGTAACTTGAAAGAATATTATTGCCAACTTCTAATCGATGAAAACAACAAAAATCCAAAGGTAGCATCATATGTTGCATGGGCACCTTTGATGCATGTTGGGAAATGATAATGGGTTTCTTCAAAACGTTTTGGCCCATACTAGTGTTATGGGCAAATACAAATATTACAAGTTTTAGAATGAAATGTTGTATTTCTTAAACTGTGTACTTTGTCTTTAAGAGATATTGAAAACTGACAATGTGTTAGAAATGGAACATATTGTCTTTCATAACTGTTTCTTTAAGCAATAACCTCTTACCTACCTACAGTGCATAATATGTTTGCGCCATTTTGTCCCAGACGAATTACAATAACAATAATGCATAAGCAAGCTTCAAGGCTATGCTACGACTCTTTCAGTATGCAATATACTGTGGTAACCTTAGTAGATAAGGATGTTCAGACATTAAGATGGCATCTTGAACTAAGTCAGAAAATTCCATGACGTATGCACCCTTTAGATATGGCCTTGTATGTTTGCCAAATTAAGGGAGGTCCTAAAATGAATAAAGTAAAAGAAGTGTTACTTTTTCATATATGAACTACGGTGTAAGGAAACCAAGTACATTTAAACCTCAATCAGTAGTTTCCTCCCGAACCGCCAGAGCCCAGTGAACATAGCCCTCCGTTCGGTAGTTATGATAGACGAATCCTAGTGTAGTTCCAATAGTGTCACTGGATAATTCCCTCAGTAAAACACCCGAATGCCCAAACAGCAGCCGTAGTCAGAAGAAGGGTACAAAGATGAACTAAAGATTTATTGATAGACACTCTCTTTTTATGGAATTCTGCCCATTCAAGGGAGACTCCCCCATAATTAACAATACAGCCAATCATGACAATATACATACTGTACATCTCCTCCCCTAAGATAACCAATTAACACAATTAAAAAGGAACACATTTTCCCCAAAGTCTGGATGTACCCCAGATAGCTGAACTCTGGGGGACCAACATATTAAAGAATCCGCCCATTCGGTTCAGCCGTTCGGGAGATATGGGACTTATAAGTTTTGACCGACTGCACGTGCAAAGTAGCCGAAAACAGTTCCACAAATTCTGGCCCTGCAGTCGGTCTCAGGTCGCGTGTAAAAACTCCCGAACGGCCGGCCATCCAGATGCCATCCTGGGTTCGCTGAAATACCCATCCGTTAGTAAGTCTTTCTACCGAATGCCCGGTCATTCGGTAGTTTTGGCGGGGTTCTCCCGAAGGTATGGAGGATTCAGCGGTGTTCGCCTGTTTGAGTGTCCGATTTCAGTTCCAGACACTCGACGGCAAACACCACTGTTCGGGAGTTAAAATGGCCGCGAACACGTGGAAGTCCCGAAATGGCGGCTATGCATACAGTTCGTGCGGGACTTTCGACGAACATGCCCATCAAGCTGGGGGGTAAAATACTCTTAATTGGAAACAGGGTGGTCGTGATTCGGTAGTTTTATCTACCGAATGCCATAGGGGTACATAACAGAAAACAAGGGAATGCAAATTGTCACTTTGAAGCAAAATAGGGGGATTTCTTCACATACGGTAACCCTAAAATGGAGACACCTAAGGTATAAATAGGTGTACTTTTAAATGTTAAGGAACAGAGGTGAGACTTGGAGACAGACGCAGCTCCATCTTAAAATGACAGAGAGGCTGACATGATGACATGTTCAGAAGGGTATGAAGGGTATGTTAACCTATTAATGATATTTGCAAGCATTTAGTTTAATCTTATAAACTCTGCTATAATGGATTTTATATGTCTATATTTATATTTTTATATAATAAATACCAAAAAGACAAAACTTTATTGCTTCCAAGACAATCCTTATTTTATATTGTATTCTCAATTATTTATATATGTTAAATAGAGGATCTCTTACACTAATGATATAAAATTATAGCTAAGATATCTGTATGGTTAGCCCTGCTCAGTTCTATGCTTTAAGACCTTATAGTGGTAAATAAGGGAACCAGCCGCGGTTACACTAGTATCAGATAGACACCTTAAGGATGTCGTGACACCTCATCCATCTATTACGGCACACAGATGGAGAAATTTGAGAAACCTTTTGTTACCCAGTCATCTCCCTGCTAGTGCCACCTCAGGTCACCCTAAAAACTACTTACGAGCGGGCACCTACCAATGTGGTCATTGTAGTGCATGTCCCTTTATCAACAGACATTATAAGGCCTACTCCAGTAGCACCAATATGGAAATGTTTAGATCACACTCTTTCTTTAGTTGTTGCACCATTGGAATAGTCTATCTACTGACCTGTTCTTGTGGCCTGATGTATGTGGGTAAGACATTTCGCCTATTTAAATACAGAATCCAGGAACACATTAATTCAATATGGAGACGTCTGGAAACCCCAATTTCCAGGCATCTACATCACCATCATGACCACTTGTCAGCTCTTATAAGATTTATGAGTCTGGAACATGTACCTCAACCAACGCGTAAAGGGGTTGGTACATTAAACTTTGTCAGAGAGAGGCGTTCTGGATTTATAGGTCAAAAACACTATCGCCACAGCGATTAAATAAAGGGTTTTCTTACTCCCCCTTCATATGATACATGGACTAATTCTGTGACTATGTGGCTTTTTATTGTAAGCTAGTATGCTATACAACAATTGTTGTCTAAACCTTTTTTAACCTTTTTAGTTACTTGCACTTTTTAATTGGTGTCTTTAATCACTAATTTTGCTCTCATCTAAATATGTATAATGATGACTGACTACTTGTGACATTATAGTAGTTCATGTATTCTTCAGTGGCTCTTTATACCACTTTATGTAACATTTATTATAGATACTAAACTTACAGCTATACTTATGATTACATGTGGGAGGTACCTTCTAATGGGTCAACCCACGTTGGCACTATTCATCCATAATGCATTCACCCATCATGTATTCGTCTTGTGCCTGCCTTATAATTATTTCAAGTAATGGTATTAACCCTTCTTTACAGCTAACTAGGACATAATATAACTTTCTTTTCGTTGTGGTATAAACAAGGGTATAAAATATTATGGTAACTGCCCGCTATGTATGTTGGTTTGCAGCAATCGCATGTGGGCGGTGCTTGATGATGGGATGTCCCATCCCATTACTATTGAACACACCCACTCTGCGCACATCACGGATGCTGCCCCCGTCCCACGTTGGGTCGGACCTATGACGCTGCATACTGACGTCTCCTGTGCAGACAGTTCGATATGGGCGAATGGATGCTGCTTTCCTGTAATGGGTAATGTGAACAAATATTGCCTAATTGGCCTACAGCTATGCTAGTCGCAGGTGGTGACTGCCTATTGGCGGTCTTCCCAACCCCATTGATTATACACCTCCCTATTAGGTCTGGCTACACTTCAAGTAAGGGGATTGGATGAGATATCTTTGTGCACCGCCCCCTGACGAGCTGATTCTGTTATGGCTCATTGTTTATATGGTATTCAAACAGACTACTGGATGAGACAGACTACTTTGCCCCTGACAACGGCATTGTATCACACCGAAACGCGCGTCAGGCTCTTTTACTATTTTTAATTATGCACTTATTTTCACGTTAGGTAGCACTTCGCCTTTTCTTTGAGTTATCTCTGCAGGATCTATGGTTTAGGTAGGCACTAGCCTAGTGCGGTGCTGAGGTATTAGGGACAGAGTATTTTTGTGGGGTATGATGTGTACCTATTATTGATTTTCTAGCAGTGGAGTAATTCTGCTCTTCGTATACTCAGCTCTTTATCTACAATTTTCGCTGGATGAGAAATTTAATTCTTTCTGAGTGATATGCAGACAATTCCCTTGTGTCCCCATCTACCCTTTGACAGTACCTGTATATTAGCAGGATATCTAACCAGAGTGGAGTTACTTTTGTGCCTCTCATCTGTCCTATAGGGCTACCCTCTACCTGGCATTCAGACACTGTCTTTCCTATTTAGGACCCCTAGTTAGATATACTGGCTCTATTTTATACTCTTAATAAAGGTTTTTAATTCAATTTATTTTGGTTTTGCTACTATACTATTTTAGGTTGTATTCTTTCTCATACTGCCCCTCTGTTGGGAGAGGATGAGTGAACGATAGCTAGTGCCTGCATGTAATGCAAAATAAATTAAAGGGTGGTCATTTAACGATGAGTTTATCAAGCAGGCTTGGGGTTTTCCTCTTCAGTCTACCCACACCGGTACAGGAATGTGCAAGTATATCAGAATCAGAAATTGTGAAACTCTCTATACCAGTGGTCTCAATTCAAATTACTTGGGGGTCACTGGCCTAGTAATCCTTTCACATGAGGGCAGCTTGTAAAAATCACAAATCACAAAATTGCAAAGAAACGTAAGTAACCACAGCCGGTTCCCCTATTTACCACTATAATGTCAGGGCTAACCATACAGATATCTTAGCCATAATATTATATAGTTTGTAAGAGTTTCTCTATTTAAAATATATAAATAATTGAGAATTCAATATAAAGACAGAGACAAGCCCATAATTGTATGGGGAACGGAACGTAACGACAGAAGGCTAAGTGAGGCCTTGTGAAATTGAGGTAATCGTAACGAGTAAGATTTCAGTACCTGATACTGTATGTCAGGAACAAGGTCGACAATCCGTATTTTTAAACGTAGTAATTTGACGGCAAAGACACGCGGCCATCTTTGGAAGGTCTGATGTACCTTCATTGAGAATAGTGGCATGGTGGACATCTTGCAAGGGGCGGATATACTCAGATGATTGCCAGAAACACTCCATATATGGCGAAGAGGACGGACCATCAATCCACAGCTGTTAATATTTGTAATATAATTATATTTATTATGTATACTATATAAGAAGGTTGTGACACTAGTTATGATATGCACCTGAGGGAGACCTATTGGGTTGAAACGCGTTGTGCTCTATTTTATTTTATTTTGTTTCAATAAAAGTATTTACCTTTTAACCACTTGGCAACCTTGTTCCTGATTTTTATAATGGACATGGACTACTCTAAGACACCAACATTTAACAGTCCATATTGCATTTATGGTGTATTTTGCTGCATGAATCACTGCTTCTCTGTGACAAGTCTAGTATATCCATGTGTTCCTTATGAAAAAATATATATATATATATTTTTTATTCATTTGGCTGTCAACTTTCAAGTTCCTTATTCTTGTGCTTCAAGTGAAGAACTATTTAATTCACCCACTTTTTATTTGTTTTATTGTTGTCCATCTGTCACTATCTCAACAAATATATAATCCCTTTGATCAGTTAATTCAAGTCTGTCTCTGCTGTAGTCTGCATGCATCGGATATCAACTATGTTGCTATAAGAGCCAAACTGCAAACGCTCGTTATGATAAGGTGTGAGGATCTATACCTTTGATGTACATTTATAATATAAATTAGTATATTAATAATTGTATTCACCACCTGTAAGCGTTCTCATTAATCCACAAATTATTTATACCTGAATCACATTTAAGGCAGATACAAAACATTGCATGAATGAATGTGATGCCTATAAAATACCTATAAAAGTAACCTTATTCTACTTAACTTGCTTCATATATAAGAAGGTTGAAGTCAAAGAGACACTTGCAGTTTACTTTCTTAAGAAGAAACATTTCCAATTCTTCATATAACTCAATCAGAGATCAACATGAAGCATCAAGGCAGCTACTCTTCTTCTGGATCCCTCATGGTAGGCCACAGCTCTAGAGGCCATTGTTCCTCTGGTAGCATCTCTTCACTTCATCATGGAAGCTCTAATACACTTCACCATAAGAGCTTCAGCTGCTCTAATACTGGTGGTTCCTATAAATCATCCAGCCACCTTGGAGGAAACTCAAAACTATCTATCAGTTCATCTGCTGGTCTTGCACATGGAGGTGGAAGTGGCCATGGTGGCCTTACAAGTCATCTCAAGAGTTCTAACAACCACGCTCATAACCTACTTCGTATTAATGAGAAAGATACAATGAGGGCTCTGAATGAGCGTCTTGCCTCCTATTTAGACAAGGTCCATTCGCTGGAGCAGGAGAATGCTGAGCTGGAAAGGAAGATTTGTGAATGGTATGCAAACAATGCCCCAAGCTCACTCCCTGACTCCAGTGAGTACTATAGGACAATTCAGGAGCTACAGAACCAGGTAAAACAAGAGATGTATGAGTTTATCTCCAATGTGGTCAGTTGTAGGATGATCTTACCTACAATGCATGTTTTTATGAGTTAAAGTAAACTTGTCCTTCAATAAAACATCCAGACCAAAGTGTCTGCAAACCCTGAAAATACGTCTGTATACATGACTGTATAATAGAGATATAGAAATGTTAAATATGCAACAATATTTTATATACATTACATGATAAAATATATTGTATACACAATATACATTTCATTCTGACTTGAACTAAACCAATATATATGCCATTAAAGATTTCTTCTAATGTGGTTATCCTACTTACAATGTATGTTTTTATGACTTAATAAACGTACCATTCTGTAAAATAATTCTAGTCCTAAAAGCTCATGTAGAATTGACTGTATAATTGAGATACAGAGATGTTCAAAACTGTTTTATATAACTTATATAATAAAAAATGTTATATACACTATATAAATAGTAAGATGTTGTTACATTCAAGAATGCAGCATTTTAAATTCTGAACACAGGGCCTTAAAAATCGCATGTGGTTCAGCTTTTCTCACATAGAAAATATAATATCAGTGTGTATAATCAACAGAACATTTTCTTATAACTTTAGTTATAGTCAAATATAGTTCACGGAGACCAAAATGTTTAAGCAAAAGAAGTAATATAAATTATTATTAGAGATGAATTGATAATGACTTTGCTTACCAGATTTTTTCGGCAACAATTAACAGTGGAAGGATTGTCCTACAGATAGATAGCGCTCAACAAGCTTCAAATGACTTCAGAAGCAGGTAAGTCTATGAAGTTAAGAGATTTAAAGAAACAAGTGAAGACTTTGCTTTATACAACTGTAGTGGCATATAAATTGTAAAGGTGACTTTGTGTGGCAAAATATAAATATAAACATATATTCATCAAGTATGGTGGTTAGTATTAAATGAATAATTAAAAAACACAATATAAAAAAAATCTAAAAAGCCCTAATTTCTCACAAACAAACCTATTTTTATATTGTTACAGCAAAACATTCAGCATAGAATTGTACATAACTTCAGTTTAATGAAAATTATCTTGAGTCAACGATGAGGTCTACCAGCACTGCAGTAACTGCTTTAGTAATGTTCTTACTAAGTTTTCGGTTGAGGAAAGTTAGTGCAGTAGCTGTAAACTTTCTTATGTGTTCTATTAAGGTGTCTGTTATGTTTGATTGTACGACCATAGGTTAGAAGATAGTGTTGACCTTTATGGTAGACTATTGGCTAATTTAGGATTATCAAGGCATTATAATTTATCCATAACTATTTATCTATATTGTTGCATGCCGTGTAATCACAATACAATATATTGTAAATACCGTTACCCAATCCTTTGCTAACTGCACATGGCATTGCCGTAGTTATCAAGCTGCGTTTTTGTCATGTTATTCCACACCGGAAAAAATACTTTCAACCAGCGTTAAATTGAAAAGTGATTAAGAGTTGATGCCATGCCTATTCTCAGAATTGATTATATAATATAGTGTGCTCTTTTATTATTATTATTATAAATTTAGGTGTGAGATGGAGATAAACACAAGGAACAATGTGGATGGAGATACTGGTTCTTTGAGAAGAGTCTTACAACAAATTAACAATGAAGTGCAAACCTTATCCGGAGAAGTCCAATGTCTCCAGCAAGAACTTTTCCAGATGAGGAACAACCATTCAGGGGTAAAGTGGAAATATGTCAATGGCCTATTATTATAATTTATTAAAACACTACTGAGAACAAAGATGTATTTGGAATAATTACAGGACTTCAAATGTCAAGTCATAAGCTACTAGCCAGGCCTCAAAAGTTTTTTTGCCACTGCAGCCTAGAGAATCCTTGGCACTTTTACCATTAGTTACTTTGTACGATGCAGGGCTAAATTTTTACTACGAATGTAATTTTTTTCCATTAATTAATAAAAGTTAACAGTTTTGGGGATCTCTTTCTTGCATACATCGTGAGTGTTTGTTTACACATTGAAACCTAAGGGTTATTTATTTCTTTATAAATTACTTTAAAATTTTTCTTTCACTTCTTACCCTAGTTCTTTGTCTTTTTCAAAGGAAGTGGATGGTCTGCGTGCTCAGCTTGGAACCAGAGTCAACGTAGAAATGAATGCTGCTCCATCCATCGACCTGAACAGAGCTCTATCTGAGCTCAGAGAAGAATATGAAAATATGATGGAGAGGAACCTCAGGGAAGTCGAGGGCATGTTCTTGGCAAGGGTAATTCTAACCATAATATCATGGAGCAACTAGCTGACAGTAAACTACAACACTAAAACTATAGACCCATACCAGATTGGTAAGAACAGTATTATATTTTTACATGAAATTTTTTTTTCTTGCAGAGTGCAGAACTGGACCGTGAGATGTCTTTAGGAGCCGTACAATTGCAGTCAGTTAATAATGATATCATTGATTCAAAGCGGTCTTTACAGACCCTGGAGATCGACTTGCAGAGCCAGCTAAGTATGGTATGTCAGCATGAATTAAAATATGTAAACATATATAAAGCAACACCATGACTATATTCCGCATTTGCTGTTTTAATTGGTTCTAATAATGCTTTATTGACTACAAAGTAACTTGTGTCAGTCTTTAGTTTAAGAAAGTTTACCCTTGGCAATTTATTTATGTCTCCAAGTTGGAGATTAACAATAGTACAATAATATGATGTAAAAAATAAATCCATGAATAAAGGATCATATACATATTTAGTTAAGTAATATTGCTGTGTCATCATTGGCAGAAATCAGCTCTAGAGGGCACCTTATCAGAGACCGAGGCAACGTTTGGTTCTCAGCTCTCCCAATTACAATGCATGATTGATAACATTGAAGGTCAGCTGACACAGATCCGATCTGACCTAGAACAACAGAATCATGAATACCAAGTTCTCATGGACCAGAAGACCCATCTAGAGATGGAAATCAACACCTATAGACATCTGCTGGATGGACATGACATTCAGTGCGTATTACAATTTTTTGTCAAATTTAGTTGTTAAGTATTCAGATCAAAAAAGGAGAAGAAAAACGAAATAATGCTGGTTTAAGTGTAGTCATCATGATGGAAAAGTTGACAAAACCTGGCTCTTGATATATCTTCATATTCATGTATAACACCAATACATGGGTCACTTACCTACATTAATGAGTATACAGTCACAAGTGAGCATAATAAACACTAGAATATTTTAAATGAATAAGCTTATAGAACATAACGTAAAATATAATATTTGTAACTGAGGTGGGCAGTTAAATGTTTATATTAATTGAATAGATGAGATAGGTGACTGAGGGAGAAAACTAAGGAGAAGATAATTATTGGTCGTAAATAAATTACAAAATGGGGTTTCACAGATGATATATGTGCATAGATAGGGTTTGGGGAACATAAAATTATAAATGAGGTGGCTGATTAGATAGTTTGTTTTAATATTAGGGTTTAGAAGGAAGAAGATGTGCAACTAGAAAGAATCCATGAAGTTTGTGGTAAGGATGTAAATAAAGCAGAGATGATGAGTGTAGTTTACATAGTAGATTAATAAGAAGAGAAAGGGAAGTGCAACATGCTAATCAGAAGTGGTCCTAACATAGATCCCCACCTGTTACATAACCACAGATCACATGTTGCTTTACTAATTGTAAGGTTGACAGTGCATCATTGGGATTATATGTCCGCAATAGCTGGGCATCCAGTTTCTGGATGCACCTTTTTTAGAGGGATTTTTTTTGAATAGTTAAAGCATTATTAATTAGTTTATTAGTAATCCTGAACGCATATTACGAAGTATGAAGTACTAAGTACCGAAGAATGTTGATGTTAAGGCAATATAATATGTGCTGCTCTATATTACAGTTAATTTCACCTAAGGTAATTGTGTATTTTTGATAAAAAATATAATACACACCTCTCTCATATCAGTTCTTCTAAACATTTCTAAATCTTTTCACAGTATTGCCGATCATACCAGTTCTGGAGGTGAGTAATATACATCACAATAAAAAAAATACATTTACAACGAAAATGCTTAGCTATGTATTGCAATGATATTTGATATTTCTAAACCTTGCTTATTGATCCAACTGTTATACAGTATAAAGGGAATCAACACAGTAAAGGAGGAGACTATATTTAAAGGAAGAAAAACTACCACAACAAGAGGACATAGTCTTAAATTAGAGGGACAAAGGTTTAAAAATAATATCCGGAAGTATTACTTTACTGAGAGGGTAGTGAATGCATGGAATAGCCTTCCAGCTGAAGTGGTAGAGGTTAACACCGTGAAGGTGTTTAAGCATGCATGGGATAGGTATAAGGCTATCCTAACTATAAGATAAGGCCAGGGACTAATGAAAGTATTTAGAAAATTGGGCAGACTAGATGGGCCGAATGGTTCTTATCTGCCGTCACATTCTATGTTTCTATGTTTCTATTACTTTCTTAAGATTTAATCAACCCAAAAATAAAAAGATGTTATAAAGTCTGTGTGCCCATCTAATTTTTCCACGTCTGCTCTGTTCTAGCATCCCATCACAACAAGTGCAAGTAATGGCCGTGTGCTTCTCAATAAGCTCTTGATGCCTCTCTAGAAAAAGAATAACATGAATTGAATCATTATGAAATCAACTTCTCTGGAATTAGCAATCTGCCTTTATTGTCTTTCTTTAATTCCCTTTCCATTCCTAAACTGATACTGATTAAATGCAAGTGAAAATCCAACACAAAATATATTAGCTATGTGTACAAGTAAAACTGATATTGTTCTGAATTATTGGACACTGTTTGTGTCCTATTGTTCCTGAAAAAAATAGAACTCATCTACAGCTTGTATATCAATACAATATTTACAATGACTTTATGCAGCTTTATCGAAGGATGGTGTTGAGTGGTTTGCCTAGCAAATATTATATGAAAGAACATTTGAATTTCCAAGTACTGAAAGCATTTTGTAACTGTTTCACGAAATTATAATTCTAAGACAATGTTGATCAGCTGCATATTTTTTTGTAAACTAGTATTTTACTAATATTGTAAAGCGCTGGGGATTACGTGGGCGCTATGTAAATGCCAAAAATAATAATGAAATAATAATAATATATTTATCGTTTGGATTTAAGTTTTGTGGGAACTTTTGGACTGTATTGTAATTACAACTTTATTGTAACTGAATCTAATCTACAATTCTTTTAAAATAAATAATTTTTCTTTGTCTTCTGCAAACCCGGTGGTGTATTTGTATTTTGTATTGCGAAATCTAATGTTGGATTCTCAGCATTTCAAATATTTTAGAATTGAATTGCCTGAATTTAGCTAGTAATATTTGTTTTCACTGCTGTTTGGAGTTGAATGAATAAACCCCTAAAACCCACACACATTATTGCACTGCTGGAACAATAAAACACAAACTATAGTCAGTTTCTGAAAATATATTTACTGTGCTAAGAATTACAATTAAGACAGATCAACTTTAACCCCTTAAGGACCGAGGACGGTTCAGGACCGTCATCGGCATTTTTGCCTTGCCGACCGATGACGGTCCTGAACCGTCCAAACGGTCTGGGGCTACTTACCTGATCGCCGTCGTTCCCCCGGCGGCGATCAGTGTTCCTTCGGTTGTGGGGAGACTGCCTGCAGCCCAGACAGTCTCCCCACGGCAGATTAGGACCCCTGTGGCCATGTGATCGCTTAACACAGCGATCACATGGTCACAATAGGTGTCCATAGTGCTGCCTGCAGGGGGACTGCCTGTGCTGACAGGCAGTCTCCCTGCAACTGTAAAATCAAAAAAAGTTAATGGTAATAAAAAAAAAAATAATAATTATATATGTATAAATATGATATATAGACATATATTATATCTATATAATATATGTCTATATATCATATATATAATGCCATACTAAGTGTATTTTTATATTAATATGTACTTATATTAATATAAAAATACACTTATAATTAAATTACACGATGTATATATATATATATATAACTATATATTGTATATAAATATATTATAAAATATAAATAATAAGTAATTTAAATTAAATAATTTTTTAAAATAATAATAAAAATTTAAAAAAATATATCTATATGAAATTTTATTCTAACTGTATTTTAATTAATATATATATATATTTATATCAAAATACACTTAGAATGAAATTGTATATATATCTATGTATATATAAATAAATAAAAATAATACGAAATATACATATGTCCATATACAAAATTACATAAATAATTATATAAATATACACGTAGACTTCAAATATATAAATATGCATATATATTTAAATTCTACGTGCGTATTTATGTAATATTTTTACATAATTAAGTAATTTTATTGATTGCAATTTGAGGGACCTGCCTGCCAACCCAGGCCGAAAGTCCAGAGAATTTAATTTACTAGCACTGTATTTTACCCTGTAACGTTCTACGACACCCTAAAACCTGTACATGGGGGTACTGTTTTACTGGGAGACTTCGCTGAACACAAATATTAGTGATTCACAACAGTAAAACATATCACAGCGATGATATTGTCAGTGAAAGTGACTTTTTTTGCATTTTTCACACACAAACAGCACTTTTACTGATGATATAATTGTTGTGATACGTTTTCCAGTTTTTAAACACTAATATTTGTGTTCAGCGATGTCTCCGAGTAAAACAGTACCCCCCATGTACAGGTTTTATAGCATTTTTTAAAGTTACAAGGTCAAATATATGGGTCAAATATTTTTACATTGAAAATGGCCAGGTTGGTTACGTTGCCTTTGAGAGCGTATGGTAGCCCAGGAATGAGAATTACCCCCATGATGGCATACCATTTGCAAAAGAAGACAACCCAAGGTATTGCAAATGGGGTATGTCCAGTCTTTTTTAGTAACCACTTGGTCACAAACACTGGCCAAAATTAGCGTTCAATTTAGTTTTTTACTTTTTTCACACACAAACAAATATGAATGCTTACTTTGGCCAGTGTTTTCGACTAAGTGGCTACTAAAAAAGACTGGACATACCCCATATTGAATACCCTGGGTTGTCTACTTTAAAAAAAATATGTACATGTGGGGTGTTATTCAGAGATTTATGACAGATAATAGTGTTACAATGTCACTATTGATAAATTTAAAAATGTATGTTTTGAAACCGCAATATCCTACTTGTACCTATAGCCCTATAACATGCAAAAAAAAGCAAAAAAGCACGTAAACACTAGGTATTTTTAAACTCAGGACAAAATTTTGAATCTATTTAGCAGTTTTTTTCATTCGCTTTTGTAGATGAGTAAAAGATTTTTCAAGTAAAAGTCAAAAAACATGTATTTTTTCAATTTTTCATCATATTTTTTTATTTTTTTTAAATTAAAATACATGAGATTATATAAATAATGGTATGTAAAGAAAGCCCCTTTTGTCCTGAAAAAACAATATATAATTTGTATGGGAACAGTAAATGAGAAAGCGGAAAATTACAGCCAAACACAAACACCACAAAAGTGTAAAAATATTCCTGGTCGCAAATGTACAACATCGCAAAAACAGTCCAGTCCTTAAGGGGTTAAATGTTAAGAATATTTATAGTGTACAAAACAAACAAATAAACAACAACAACAAAAAACAAATCTACCTCCACTGCAGGCAATGTAGACTGTGAAATGTACAACATCTTGGGAACATTGTAAAAAAGAGTTTATTGGTTTGATATTTTTGAGAACGGCTAACATAGGTATTCACAAAAGTCAGAATTCAAAGTGAATTTAGAATTTAAGGCCAATGTCCCCCCAACTGGACGCTTGCTATAAATCCAGTTTGGTTACTTTGACCTAACATTTGAAATCCATTCACTTTGAATTCTCACATTTGGGAATAACCCTGTAAGAGTAACTAAATAACATAGGAATTCATGAATTGCAGATATACAAACAAAGCATATTTTAATTTTGTAAACATCTGTTAAGACACCCCTGGTGTCTTTAACGGAAACCGCCGTTTAGTTCACCTTCCCCTTTCGCAATTCCGTAACCCGTTTGCATTAATTATAATCCACGAACCATAACCAGGGGAAGCGGTAATCTCCTGAACGGGATCCGTGAAAGGTTTCAAACTCCCGAACGGAAATCCACAAACTGCCGCTAGCCGCCGAACAACGATATCCACCAAGCGGCTTTCGGTTCCATCCAGCAGTCTCTAAACGCAAAAAAGAAATCCCCCCAATAACGAGACAGAAGCTCTGCATTGAGGGTCAAACAGGATCTGCCTTTACTGTGGGCTACCTACCGTATTTATGCAGTTCTCCCACTTGGTGGACACTCCCCTAGGGGACCAAATGAGAGACTGGAATTACAGATGGACATAAAGACATTCCAGACATACAGTCACAGCTTTTACCCACAATGCACTATGGTTTCCTCCCTTTTGCCCTGGAGATAATTGAGAAGTAATTCAATTATCTCCAGGACAAAGACAATCGCCATCTTAAATATAAAACCAGAAAATACATAAAAATACATAACTTTAAAATAACCGAACATTTCTCATTCGCATCACATATCCCCAGATAGCCTGGATCTGAGTGCATATTATTAGCGAATAGCGCTCAGATCCCATACGCATAGTTCAATCGCCATGGAGTCAAAGTTCTTACAGTCTTTCGGTATGCGATTGACTCCCTGGGAAGGTTATCTGGGTTAAGTCCTTTCATGTGCTTCAAAACTCCCAAACGGCCGGTGTTCGTATGCTTTCGTGGAGGCAGCCAGGTGTTCGGTTGTTTCAGCGGTGTTCGGCAGAAAAAGTTCCATGAAAATAGAGCCGAACACCGCTGGGCTTTTGCGTGGTTTAAAATGGACGCTGCCTCGTGGTCGACATACGAATGACGACCACCCTGAATTCAGTTTAATTGAGAAGTGTCTGCGGTTAACCACAACGTTCTAATTGGGATCAATAGGTTAACCAGCAGCACACTTCTCTCCTGGGTGGCCATTCGTTCGGTAGTTTTATTCGGGAAAAACGGTCATTCGTATGGCTGGGCTATAGGAAACAGCCATTTACACGAACGGGGCAGAAACAGACTAATCCACCGCAATAACCAGACAGATGGTTCTGTCACAACATCAGTTTATCGGGTATCGATTTGGTTAAATGTGACAACATTCTCTAAAATATAATTTTAATTCTAAGAAAAAAGCAGTCTGTTTATATTACCAATATATAATATTCATCTGTGATGATAAATATAAAAATATAGAAAAATATATATAATATGAAAACGACATACTTGGCTTGTATAGTTTTATTTTTGTGTTTTAGTGTCACCTGGGAGAGCAGCACATTGTTTTGGTCTCTGCTGTGGCTCACCTAATAGAAATAGGTGGAGACCTATCATCAAGCCCCTACTTCAGGGATAGAAACCCTTCGACATTCCAGATGACGTGCACTACATCTCCCGTAATGCTCCTGCAGCCATAATGGCAAAGCATCAGGGGGGATGTAGTCCGCAACATCTGAAGTGCCAATTAATGTCTATTCCTACCCTACTTAGTATTTTAATGTCACAGGTGACCTAAAATTTGTATTCCTTTATTATGTTTTGTTAATAAAGAAAGAATTGTCTTTGTCAGTGTGAAGAAGCCACATGGATCTCTCTAATTGCTCTAACAGCTTACAGCGAATATGTACTGACAACATGGAAAATAAGTCACACATTGGGCTGCATGAATGAATGATGGAAACTGAAAAGAATATTAACCTTGGGATAAGTCAAATAATACTCTGCTAGCCAAGGCAAATAAAGCTAGGGTAATCATCTAACCATATCTGCTAGTCAAGAGAGAAAGGTCACCAGGTTATACTTATATTAAGGAGGTAACCCTAGTAATTAACAGTCAAAAAGTAGATGAACAGAATTCCAGACTTCCACTCCCAACAGAGTAGGTGTATGAGAAAGAGTACAACTTAAAATAGTATAGTAGCAAAACCAAAATAAATTGAATTAAAAACCTTTACTAAGACTAAAACACACTATATCTAACTAGGGGTCCAAAATAGGAAAGACAGTGTCTGAATGCCAGGTAGAGGGAAGCCCTATAGGACAATTGAGAGGCACACAAGTAACTCCACTCTGGTTAGTTATCCTGCTAACATACAGTTACTGTCAAATGGTAGATGGGG